TTTATTTGACTAAACCCTGACGAAATATCGCACAAATTATTTTTTGAGTTTCAACTGAAAACGTGTTTTGTTCGTACACATTTAGCAAGAATTTAATCGCCCACCCAGATTTGAAAACGTGATTCACTCTCAAAAACCGACTATCCTATCGAGTCGGAAATCTCGCCAGCAAAAACTATCCGTTCATAATTTATGGGGGGTGATAAGTTAATTAAGGATTTATTAATCGAAGTGAATGACATTATGTAAGCACAATTTTTATCCAAGCTCACCACCGCTGTATAATTATCTACGAGCTGCCTATCCCGCAACTTACGGAGGGGGACAAACGCCAACGCAGCAACCGCACTTTCAACAAACCATCAACCAAATTTAAAACCAACCCGAGCTGACAGAGGTGACGAGTTTGCAACGAAATATGCAACGATTTCCCAACTAAAAATCGTTGCCGAAATGTCCATACCGATCTAATGAATTATGAGTACCAACTATTCAATACCTAGACGGTGACGATTTTGTGTTAACTGGGCATTCAATTTTCGTTGTACAGAAATAGCGTTGACCCTACTTGCCTGTTTGGCACCGATAATTTGCTACCTAACGGACGCCAAAATCTCGTTACTAAATCGTTGCCCATTTGATACATTAATTACAACGCTGATGCATCATTATTTGCTACATACATTAGCACCAATGATTGATCAGCGTCAAATCGTTACGTATAATTTTCACCAAGTCAACGCTGTCTCAGCATAGACGTAACTGTGCCAGCTCGCATGCCGCCGCCACTCACAAATATTCCATTTTCAAGCAACACGCTCATAAAAATATTGTCTTTGATTTATTTTTTAAATGTCCGAAACTAATTTGAAACAATTTTGTGTCGTGGACTTCCCCACGGATAAGACAATTGATGTTGTCCCAAAAACTTGGCTCTCCGCTGACAATACAAAATGCCAATTTCCGTCAAATCGTCCTAAGGGTTTCAAAAAAACGCAAGAGGACCCTGGGTCACTACCAGACCCCCTGTGGAAAATTTGGGATATTGTGGTTAAGAAAAGTTATGGTAAGCTTTATTGATAATAAGAATATATTTAAACAATATTAGTGTCAAGTTTAAATTAATTGAATAACATACTTTTATTTTATTTTATTTTCAGAGAGTTTTGATCGCGCAAACAACAAAGCCAAGAAACTTTTAAAATCTAATTACGTGGATAGCAGTGATTTTGAAATTGTACCTGAATCATCACAAAGCCAAGAAGAATTGAATGTTGAAGGTATATTCATTTGTAATAATTTAAATAACTACGGAAAAATAATTCAAACGATTAGGGTAGTATATAAAAATTTCAAAATTTTTTATTTATATTGCTCAGATGGGACCAGCAATAATGTGGATCAAATAATAGAGTCAATCCCTATTACCTTGAACTATGATGAACATCTTGCAGCTCTAATTGGGGAATTTCGCAGTATTTAATTTGATTACTAATATGATCTTGATGTATATTTTCACACATTTCAACTAATTATAAATGGGTGTAAATATTTAGTATTTCAGGAGACGTCCATCCAAAACCAGCTCATATTACAAGAAGAAATAAAGGACCTCAAAGCCATTGTATTGCGTTGTCTTAATTCTTTGTCCAATGTGCAGCCATTGACAAGTATTATTTGGCCGATTAAGAACAATGAAGATTTGGAAAAAGTTAACCAATGTCTTGCAGATCCAAATACTTATAATAGAGAAGTAATTTTATAGAAATTATATTTATTACATTATATAAAATAAAGAATGTCATAATAATTGTTTATTCCACAATTTTTAGGTGATTTTTCTTGGACGAATTGGGGGAGGAACAGTCTCAAGAGCCGTGAACGAAACGATGAGTGGTGTCATTAAACACGAATTTGCCTTAATTCTTAGATTAACGGATGCCTCGAAGAAAATCTCGTTTGGTGGAACACCTTGCTGTAAATTAGTAAAAGGTAAAAATCCCTGTACAAATTAGTATTTAAATTTATCATTTAAATATTTATCATTAAAATCTTATTCAAAAAATTATTGTGCAGATGCCATTCGACATTTCTTTCTTCATAATGCGCCTGGGAAATTTGACACTGATCTTTGTGAAAGCAAATTGGATTCTATGATTGCAAAATGGCTTCGTGATTCTATCAACAGGGGAGAGGAAGGAAAACAAAAACGTTCCAAGGCCAAAGATGGACGCACCAAGGTCGACAAAACATTACAGGGTGAAGAGGAGGCTGAGTCAAATGTTGCGTCGGATTAGAGCCCCATCAACAGGAACAAATTTATCCCAAACCTTAATTCAATCTCACCTGAACACAATCGTAAGAAATGATACTACTAGGGGTAGTGACGAGAATTATAATTTAGGTTTAGATTCAGTTCAAACTGAGAGTCAAAATAGTAGTGCCACTGATGAAAGTGATCACGAATTGCACAGGGATATTAATATTACAAAGTTTAATCATGTTTCATTACTTAGGGAGTGGGCAGTAATCCACAACATTTCACACCCCGCGATTAAAGATTTATTGGAAATTTGTCGAGGTTGGCTACCTTTCTGTGGCTTTCCAGTAGATCCACGTTCGCTTTTGCAAACTCAGAGAAATGTTGAATTGGAGAATGTGGGAGGAGGTCAGTTCTATCATTTTGGTTTAGAAAAGGGAATTCTGGGAATAATTAATGCTACCAAAGGCAAACAAGTGAGTTTTAAAAAAATCGAAATTAGTTTAGGGATTGACGGCTTGCCAATTAGCAAGAGTTCAAATTTGCAGTTTTGGCCAATTTTATGTAAACTAAATGGTAATTTGTGGGGCGGGAATGTTTTTATAGTTAGCCTATTTTGTGGCAATCAAAAACCAAAGTCAATTGAAGAATTTCTTAACCCTTTGGCTAATGAATTAAATAGTTTAAAACAAAACGGGATTGAAGTTTATGGCAAAAACTTAAAATTCGTTTTGAAAGCAATTATTGCAGATGCACCGGCGCGTGCTTTCATCAAACAAATTAAAAGTCATAATGCATATTTTGCATGTGAAAGATGCTATTTTAAAGGGGAATTTTATGGCCGGGTTATTTATCCTGTTGGAGAAAAGTACCCACTGCACTCTGATGAAAGTTTTAAAAGTAAAGCTCACATAAACCATCATGAGCCAAATAAAATGTCTCCCCTAGTAAATGCTGATGTTGGAATGATAAGTCAAATCCCGTTGGACTATATGCATTTATGCTGCCTTGGGGTTATGAAGAAGTTGCTAATTTTGTGGATAGAAGGACCAATTCCTCATAGATTATCGCAAAAACAAATTAATTTGATATCTAATAAACTTTTACAGTTTAGGAATCGTGTCCCGTCCCACTTTTCACGAAAACCTAGAAGTTTATCAGAAGTGAAACATTGGAAGGCCACCGAATTTAGAAACTTTTTACTTTATTTGGGGCCGATGTGTTTAAAAGGTGTGCTTAGTACAGAAAAATATCATCATTTCTTATTGCTACACACTTCTATTTACGTATTAGCTTCAAATTTTGCAAAATATCAGGAATGGGTGGATTTGTCGGGTAGCTTAATTGATGAGTTTGTTGAAAAAATCCCACTCTTATATTGTAAAGAGTTTTTGGTATTCAATGTCCACTCTTTAACTCATTTAGCAGGGGATGTACTACTTCATGGGCCACTCGATGATTTTAGTGCTTTCCCGTTCGAAAACTTCATGCAAGTGATAAAACGTCTCTTGCGCTCTAAAAATTCCCCCTTGAGTCAAATGGTTAGAAGGCTTTCGGAAATAAATGCAATTTCAACAAGTCTTTCAAAACATGTAGAAAATTCATCGTTGACCCCTTCAGCCAAATTAGGCGACAATTGCTTTATCACAAAAACAGGACAAGTTTGTGTCGTTGAAAAATACCGAAACCAACTTATGTGTCGAGTTTTTGGTGACGAAATACAGCCAAAGTCATACCCCGTTCAATGCAAAGGTTTAGGAATGGGTTATGTACGAAATTTGGGAACTTTGCGGAAATTAGACCCCGAAAATCTCTCAAAGAAGTGTATTTTACTTCCTTGTGGCAAAAAATATTTTTACATATCCTTGTGCAATTCGTATGAAACTAATCGAAGGTAGTAATATTGTTATTAATTATTTATAAGTAGTAAATTTATGAAAGATATGCATAAGTATTTATGTAATTATGTCTATTTATGCGTATATGTATAAGCATTACATAAGTATATGTTTTTGTTGACATAAACAATAAATAGTTTTGATTCTTCAATTTAGATGTTTTTGTTTTGTGCAGTGAGTAGAATTATTTCGCATTTAAATTACGGTAAAAAAACTACACTATATAAATGGTATTGAGGGAACGTTTTCATTTCGTTACCATTTCGGTACTCATGAAAGTTACTGGCCAGGTAGCAGAATTTCGTTGAGCGGAGATTTCTCTTCGTTCATTCGTTACGTGCAACCAGCATCGTATCATTGCATGATCTTGTTCAATTTCGTCGACTTTTCGGTGCCAACGGTCGCCAGTGCCTAATCAACGCATGACTGGCAGCTCGGGAAGCATTCAATGCCGAAGCACCTGGCATGTTTGGTGGATAAGTCACAGCACGCCTATCGGTACATACTTGTAGTAAACGCAATTTCAGGCCAATGCAATTTAAATGTTTAAGGATATTTAAAAATGTGTGAATTATAAAAAATGCTCGTGAAAAATTGTACCGATTACGAAACTTAGGAAGAAGCCTATCAAAATTGTTATATAAATTATCAGTGTTAATGTTAAATACTAATGCTCATTAAAAAAATAAGGACAAGAGTCCTTACATTTTTTAAGTAAATTAATTTTTTATTTTGTGCGGTGTAAACAAACTACCTGTCAGATTGTTCTGTCCACTTTTTTCAAACGAACAGTAGTAAATAATTAATACATTGATAATGGTAAAATATATAAAACTACACAATGTCTTCTAAGCATGATTTATTGTTCAATGTTCACATTTGGGATATCGATTTGAATTAAACCAATTATTGAACCGGATTTTAATAATGGTTACCTATTCTATTAATTTTGCGAGATGAAAAAAAAATCTTCAAAAATTTAGGCGAGAAAGTTCCTACAATATTTTGAAGAACGTTTTTCTGCTTTCTTGGCCAAAACGGTTGATAAAATGGGCAGAAAAATGTCCTTTTTCTAAACCGAGGAGCTTAATGGACCCATCAAAATATCCTGCGTCAAGTATTTTGACTATGTTCCAACCAACTTGACTCTCTTTGTAGATCACAATTTTGTGCACGATTCCCTTCATGGATGACCCATTTTCGACAAGGATGTTGACCTTGTCATCGATTGTAATTAATGGCTGCATAGTCTCCACCCTTGCATACGTGGCATTCGCCAGCCATGGATAAGCGGGTTGCAACGCGGGTTCGGGATAGATCATATTGGCGAAATATGAAATCAAATATCCACCGAAATCATCCCGGAACATGGCTGAACTGAAGTGCACATTGCCCCAAGATCCTCGAAGGCGGTTTACGGGTTCGCGGGATATCTCGACCTGCAAAATGATAGGACCGCTTTTTGCAAATAATTCGATAACACATGATAATCAAGTGAACAAAATGTTTGCCTATGAACAAACATATATAGTAAAATTATTGTTGTGGGTCACCTTATTTGCATAAATCTCACTATGCCCATTTTAGGTGATTCCATGCTGAATAGACTCTCGCAAAATGTGTCAAAATATGCAAATGAGGTGACCCCCCGCAACAATAATTCCATAGTACCTGGTTTCGAATTTCGTCTATCGGCCAATTCTGGAGGTCTACGCGACTCAGGTAATTCCCTGCGTAGACGTGTCTCCCCTTCGGATTTTGTCCAGCACCGACCCACCAATCTAATAAAATCGGGTAGGACTGGATAGCGGGTGCAATTCGCCAGTACAACTGGGGCTGCATGATGTCAACCCAACCCTCCTTGAGCCAGAGTTTGGCATCGCAATAAATCTCGGCGTACTGGTCGAGGCCTTGGACGATGGGAGGACTTGGCATGCCGTCGGGATGCCCGGCTCGAAACAGACCGAAAGGTGAGACGGAAAAGCGGATCCATGGTTTGATCTCGTGTAGTTCAACGTTTAGTCGCTGCACGAGGCGGTTGACGTTTTCACGGCGCCAGTCAGGTTTGGGTAGCCCCCCGCCGGATGAGAGGTACTCGTTGTAGGTGATGTCGTCGGGAAATGGAATACCTGGAACGATTCAGATATAGCGTCAGATTATCTCATGATTTCCACATTTAACACAAAAATAGTGTGTAAAATGAATAACTATATCATCAAAATACAGTGTTTTTTGGAACTCTGCCAAAGAGGTTGACGCCGGCGATTCTACACTGATATGATTTCCCATGTATTCCTTCAACATTGGGATGTCACGCCACTGACGGCGAAAAATCAAAATTGGCGCCGCCGAAAATTTTTCGGCGTCGACCTCTGCTCTCCCATTTACAATTACCTGAAACAGGATAAGGATAAAAATAGTCGTCCATATGAAGGCCATCCAAGTCGTATCGAGTGACCAAATCTCGCGCCACATTGACCGTTCTGTCCTCCACTTCTCCACAACCGGGATCCATCCACAAATAAATATCGTACGGATATGCACACCTCGGGAACTGGACGGCCATATGGTTAGGGTGTAGCCCGGCACTGGAAGGAGTTCCGAATCTGGCACGGTATGGATTTATCCAAGCGTGCACCTCAATGTTGAGTGGTTTACAGTAATCGATCACAAATTGGAGAGGGTCCCATACTGGGCTGGGTTGGGTTCCTTGTGGGTCCCCGGTTAAATATATGCTCCACGGTTCCAGGTCGGATATATAAAGTGCGTCGCCAGCGGGCCGCACCTTCATTTTTGGTAAACAGAAGCGAATATTTACAAAAGAATCGGGAAATATTGAGGGTATTCATTTTGAGTTCGCATCGTTCGCAACAAAATAAAGTTCGCAAGTTCGCAAAAAAAAATTGGCTTGAAAATCATTTTGCGAACTTGCGCATCTCCAGGGCTAGTATTTAGTTCGCAAAATATTTTTCACAATTTTTCACAATTTTTTCAATGGGAAAAGTCCATAAGTCTCTATTGGTTACCGAAATTTGGCGTTTTGAATTTTCAAAAATTTCTTATTTGGTAAATTTCAAATGCAAAATTTCGGTAACTAATGGAAATTAACGTATTTTTCCCATTGCAAAATTCGAGACATTTGAATAAAATTTTCAGAAATTTGTCCTTTGTGAAGTGTCTTCACTTCGTTGCTTCGTAAAATTCGCAACTTCGAAAAAGTTATGTTGCGATGCGAACATGCGAACTCGTAATGAATACCCTCATTGTAAACATCACTCGTAAAAATAACTTGTGCAACTTCATAAACAGATATGCGTAAGTATTTTTAACGTTTCAAATTTACGTATGTAGGTCTTGAAGGTCGCAACAATTTAACACCTAACCTGAAAATAAACCGCGTTCAATCCAGCTTGAGCAATCTTATCGAGTAGCTCTCTCAATTCGTTTTGTTGAGTAGAGACGTTAGAACTTGCAGACCGAGGCCAGTCCATATTATTAACTGTGGCAATCCAAGTCCCGCGATGTTCCCGGCCGGGGAAATTTCCTAAAAATACAAATATTTTCAAAACATAAAGCACATATTTAATCAGATGCTATACAATATTATATAAGCCACGTACTATGATAACAGCATGCATAATTTGTTGGGTAAGATGGACACGCGTCAACTGCGATAGGTTCTGAGGGACAGGATTCTCTATCGATGCAAATTGCATAATTTCCAGTCACATTGTCCGGACCGTGGTCGAAGCAGGGATCGTCTGAATTATGTAAGATAATGTAAAATTTCGGGAACATCCGTACGCATGGAAATTATTAATAAATATATTACGCACCTCCCAAAACTGGCAAAGTTGTTTGACAAATTACCAAAATCCAAGAAATTGGTAAAATTCCCAGGAAAACTTTTCGCGTACTGGACATGATGATGGATAGGAAAGGAATAAAGTGGGTCTGGTTAAAATTATTAGTTTGACAATAACATAAATTATTTTATTCGCTTTTTTGTGATAACGTGTTGATTAGATTGGTGAGATGTGAGAAGTGGTGTCATATGTATAAGTTATCATGCTTACGATCCAATCAATTAATCGTGACACAATTATATTACGAAATATTCGGGCTAATCAATCATTAAGTCGGTCGCCTCGAAAATAATCGATTCCACGGGTTTGGTAGCAATGCGCAAATCAAATTTGAATGAATCTCTAAAACGAGAAGCAATCCATCAAAGGTATGAATATATGTATTTGTACATATTAATGTAACAATTAAAGTATTCATAAAACTATGAATTACAGATTCTTACGTGATTTATGTACATAGTAGATAAGTAAATGGAACATTGTTAGAAATCTGGTATAGTCGCGCAGGTATTGATTTCTCGGTATTAAAGTTGCTACCGCTTGGTATTAAAACGACACCGGGGTCTGTAGAAATTTTCTACCGATATGGTACAATTTTATTATCGAGCTATTTATTAGTGCAGGGTATTACTTGTCAATACCACTAGAGTCATATATGAATACCGCCTGGTATTATTTTAATACTGGATTTCTAAGAGTGGATAATTTAGGGTGAGATCGTCGTTAATTTAATTTATTTCCTGTCATGTATTTAGATATGTACGTCGTCCCGACAAGTTTCTCTGGGCAGTTGGACGTTTCCGTGAACGCGACTCAATTAATATTTCCGAGCTACGAAAAACTTAAAGCTTTTACGAATGTGTATTTAAAAGCAGAATTGGATCATATGTATGAAAAGGTTGGACTGGTTGAATAAATTTTGCAAGTGTACATATGTAATGGGACGTAGTGTATAACAAATGATCAAATTTTGATTAATTCCTCTGAAAATTATTCATCAATAGCATGCAAATATTTCCAAATAGTCTGCATTTGGTTAAATATATTAGATAAGTATGTAAATTTAGGTGGAAATTATTAATTCGTATTCACCGATTTATTAGGCATCAATTACTAATTATTTGTTACACATCAGACCAGACACGTAACAAAATGGTATAGTTAATAAACCCCAATGTTCTTTTACTGAGGAAGAATGTTGAATACAAATGCACGAATTTAAAACTCATCATTCTTCAGTTCTTTATCAGAAGTCCATTACATGTTACATTTCTCAAGCATAATTCATGGTCAAATGGCTCATGCCATACGAGTTTGATATTTTGCACGGTATCTGAGGTATAACGAATCATTTATATATGTCTGTATGGATTATTATGTGTATGCATGTACTAATCCTAAGTTATGTACAAAATTAAGAGTAAAGTTTTATTCACGTACTTATGTAAATATTTCAAATTACGATATTATTTGCAAATCCAGTAATCTTATCGTATTTCCAATTGACGGTAAACAATTCCGTTAAGCTTTCAAAAAATACGTTGTACTGATTCATCACTGATACGCCTGATCACGTTTGTATGTATGTAATTATGTATGTAAATTATGTAAATTATGCACATATATAGTCATATTCAGGCAGATGAAACGTTCACTTTGAGTTCACAAACGTTATTGTCAAGGATAAGAAGACACACCTAAATATATATTTATTTGAATCATGGGATTTTCACCAAAATTTTTAATTTTAATCCTAATACTGGCATCAATTTCGGCATCGACACCACAAACAGATTTGGAAACGGTATGGTTTATGTATAAATAAATACCTCGATTTAGTGATCTATACATTTTTATCTTGAGAATCATCCTGACCAAAGCCCTATGACTGTATCCTTGGAGAATTTCTAGACAGGGTCATATCAGTTCAAAATTTCTCCAATTTTTTTTACGAATTTTAAAGTTTAATAATATGGTTGATTTATGCTGGGAGACTTCTCAAAAAAATAAAGCACTCCGATCTATCATAAAATCCGCACGAATAATTTTTAGACACCGATTTTGATACCGATCCCAATTCAATTACTTAACCGTGCCTGCGACAGTGAATTTCTAAAAAATGATGTTGCGGACTTATTTTTGGAGAGAATGGAAAACGGGTCCGTAATTCTGTGGAGAAACCCTTTCCCACATATTTACGGATCCATTTTCCATTCTTTCCAAAAATGAGCCCTTAACATCCTTCTTAAGAAATTGTTTTTGTACCTGCGTCCCAGGCAGCCTTAATAAATATTCTAATTGCAATTCAATTAAAATCGTTGGCATTTTATGATGTTTTGTAGTATTTTATTTTTCTTGACAACCAATCTCTCCCTGCATATTCTATCCTCTTCTCAGACAGAGATTGTAGTAGCGAATAGTATCCCCAATGTTTCCAAGCTATTTCAAAAACAAGTGTCCACAAATAATTTGCTCTAGTACTGATGTGCATACGTTTAATATTTTATTGTACATTTAGCTTGGAAAATATGCATCCACGATCGAGGAAGTGTTGAATAATATCGATACTGAAGATGGGACTGACTCGATCAGCCCAGAATTTGTCGAATGGCTGGATCGTCTTTTAGCAAGAATTCTGCACCGAATGGAGTAAATGCAATCCCTCGAGGACCCACAACTACAAATAGTCTTGGATGACTTGAGAGAATTTATAATCACTAAATCTGCACAATTTTATGTATACGTAACTAAATCGGGAAACTATACGACGGATACGGACGACTGGATTGATTTCATTTTGGCTAAAGTCACCGAAGTTTTCGGGATAGTTCGGAAAGCGGAAATGTTTGAAATTATGGACATATTATGTCAAAATCCATACGACGCTAGGGCCCTTCTCGCATACATGCACGAAGGTCAATTGCAACGTTACGAAATTTTTATGCAAAATCGAACTCAAATTGAACCAATTTCTGAGTTAACGTTCGACTGGGCGATGAGCGAGGTTTCGATGACGGTCTCGTCCAAAGTGTGGTTTCCTGCTTACTTGATCTTGCCTGAGGTAAGATTTGTTCAAAATTTATTTACATACACAAATGTCCATCTTAAATATGCAGGAACTTTTTTTTATTTTCATAAGTTACAAATTTCTTGTTTTCTCTATGTTCTAGTCAGTGTTTCTTTTTGTGCGCACGAAATTATTTTTATGCATGCACAGTGCATAAAAATGCATAAAAATGCATAAAAACGCATAAAAATGTACGAAAATGCATAATAATACATGAAATGCAACTTATGCAAGGAATTTCATATTTTAAGGAAATTTTATATTTTCCTACTCTGTCAAATTGGAATTTGTACACATATCGAATAACATGAAATTATTATTCGGCAAGAAAATTTCAAACAAATTACAAGTATTTGTTTTGCAAGCCCGCATACAACCGTACATGAAAATCGTCATGTTCATTCATTCTCATTTTCAAAACTTTAATTCATTTTTCGGATGGAAAAATGAAAAATATTTTTACTCTAAAATACTAAAATGTCTTACGAAATGTCTTGCGAATACGAAAATATCTTAAATACACGTCGATTCCTCAGGTAATCGAATATTTCGAAAAAATGCATTATTCTAATATTATTTGTATGTAAATTATTTTCTTGCATTTTCGTGCATTTTCATACACTTTTTCGGATTTTTAGTTGGTGTTATTAAACGTTTAAAAACATTTTCGTGCACTATTTTCGTGCAGGTGTTATTTAACAGCAGAAACACTGGTTCTACATAGTCTTACCATAAGAAGTGATAGTAGAGCGTAGTTTTTGAGCCGGTCAATATAAAATTAAAAGGTCAGTTGCGGTATGTGCATACATTCAGTGGCTATCATTGGTGTTGACCGTTTTTACCTGACTTCACTAGGTCAAAAGATAAAGGAGCTTAGCTAGACGCGCGCGGCAATAATTTTTCACTTTTTGCACGAGAAAAAAATACACAATGTTTGATGTAGTGTAGCAGTCCAAGTACAACTACGATCTGGTTGCCCAAACTATTAAAGTAACCCTAGGGACAGTGTCTATCTCTGAGATAAAAGTTCTGGTTGTCCAAGGTCAAGGAGGACTACAGTGAGGTCCGACGCTTTAAACACCAGAATGGCACAAAACCTCTGTCCGACGTCGGAGACTTTGGCCACACAAATGACCTTTCAACTTTATAAATCAGATGAGCACTGAAAAATGACCCTAAGATGGAAGCCTTTTAGAGTAGAAAGCGTCATATCCTACTGATTGCCCAGACATAAGCTAAGGTCAAAAAATCGAACACTTTCTCCCAGCGGTACGGTAAAAAGCAAACAAAAAATAACCCGTCTGCAGATGAGAATTTCTTTAAGACGGAGCCATATTTCCACAAAAAAAGAAGTAGAATCTATGTTAAATATTCTTAGGGTTAGTTAATTACGAAATGGAGATCGAAGGTTATCTTATCGGCCTACATTCATGGTTTTGGCGGGAATCGGCGGAATAGGGCAAAAACCGCCCAATTTTCTGGATTATGGAGACGAGATAGTTTTAAAAAATATTTGATTAACGTCATAGTGAAGTAGGAACACCCCCTCAACTAGACCATATTGGGTGAAAAGCCACCAACCTTTGTGAAGGGCTCCACACTAACATATACAGCGAAATTCATGAAAAACTGGATTAAAATCAATATTTCTGACTTCATTTGCACTTTAGGTTTGACCTTAGCATTTTCGAACCGCGGTCAACTTCACCATCAAATATTGATTAAAGTTGCGGAAAGGGTCTGTTCTGAACCCCATATAAGTGTCAGGGTCACAAAAAAAATTTCTGACCCGGGAATGATACACTTTGTTGCTTAATTTCGTGCGTATTTTTGATAGAGCTTTCTCCTCTCGTGACCAATTTCTCAGTGCCACAAGACTACTTAGAATACAATTTGCAATTTATATGCACATAATTTATACCTATTTTACCCTAGAAAAATTATAATCAATGATTATGATACAAATTAAAATATTTAATTAAAGATGGTCAACAACGAGTATGCGTGAATAAATGCTAGTTAATAAACTAAACCTAAGTTTCATTCATAAGTGCTAAATTAATACGAAGGTACAAAATATTTCATTGTTTAGTTCATTTTTTGGTTAATATTTCATTTTTAGAGTCCGGCATTACTTTTTACATGCAATCCTCAACATGGTAAAAAGTATAAACATTTCTATATTTTGCACGATACATACATTGAATTGATACCAATACATATGCGATCAAAGACATCGATAATACGAATCATGTATAAACTCATGTAAAATGACGACATGGCAATCAAAAACAGACCAATCTTATCTTATTTTTCACACACGACTTATAAGTGGTATGAATCAGCACGTACATAAATACTTATGTACTAGTCATATTCAGACAGATCAAACGTACATACAGTTTGCAGACACACCTATCCAAATTTAATAATTTGAATGATGGTATTTTCACCAAAATTTTGGATTTTCATCCCAATCCTAGCCTCAATTTCGACGTCATTATCAGACAAAGATTTTGAAACGGTACGTATCTGATTTACATACAATTATTTTGGTAATGTTAAATATTCACATGGAACTGAAAGAAAATGAAATTATAATTTCGTCTTAGCCTTACACCATATTTAATCCTGACGATATTCCAGCCATACTGGCACCACGTCTCGAGCGTTACGACCTGACAGCGGATGACGTCTCCTACGAGATACGATACCTCGTCGCCAAATTTCTCAACATATTGCTAATTCAGCCCGTCGCGGGTAGATCAATAACCGACGTAAGTTTGTTTGTGTGTACATGTTAAGAAATGCAGGATATTTGAATATGTAAACCTCTAAAAATTTCATAAAACTGACTTAATACTTAAATTCTAATTTCGACTAATATTCTAATACGACTAATTTCTACCATTTAATTCGCTCAGATCATTGAACAGGACATCATTAAGGCCTACACCTTTATAATAGAACACCCGATAAACGAAAAAATTTTCTCCAACTTCTTTGACAGACTTATCGCCTTAAATATTAATGAAGGCACCCTTCTTGACACCATGATTGACAACGTGATCAAGGACTTTCAAGATGAACCTGACCCCCTCGAAATTATCGAGCTTCATGACTTCTTAAAACTTGTAATAATGATTGAAGCCAGTCCAGAAGTTACGGATGTGATGAGAGCCTTTTGTCATGACATGTACGTTTTCACCGCAATAATGAGTACAATAGAAAATTTGTCTATAGAAGAAAGGTCAAGCTTGTTGGCGAGGGCGATTAGTGCTTCGAATGAACCGGATTATGATGCGGACACCGCTGTGGCGATACTCGACGAGTTTGAGGCGACGAGAGACGAAAAATCGAATTTGGAAGGGACGAGTGAAGGGGTGAGAACATATTTAGACAAATATGAACTTCTTTGGTACAAAATTATGAAAATATTTATTGAGAAAGGAGACAATTTGAAAGATCGACAATGTGAATTACCACACTACTGTAAGTGTTCTACGCCTCGTGTATAAGTTATATATGAGGTGTACCTACATACATAGGTATGTAGTTACGTAATATAACTACATACAGACAGATCAAGATCTTTCAATTTTAACTCGTGATAAGCCGGGTGCAAAACCATGTTCGATTTGTTCAGCTACATAGATATTTCCATATGTAAAAAACATTTTTTTAACTGGCCCTAAAACCTTTCAAAAATATTTGTACTGTTCCTAGCGTGTTAACAAAAACATGCCTTCAAATACTTAATTAATAATTAATTATTAGGTAAATATGTAATTAATTAAGTCGAAATGCATATTTACTTACATACATAAGTATTATTATGTAACATTTTATTCATATTTATTTATGCAGCTAGGAACATTGACATCCATTGTAATAAAACAAGTGGAAAAGTACCTCGGTACTGGAGTTGATTCATTGAATCCAGAATTTGTCGATTGGCTAGATCGTATCTTGACAAGATATCTGCACATCGATGAAATTCAATCCCACGAGGACACACAACCAGTCCTGGATGACTTAAGAGAATTTATAATCGCTAAATCTGAACAATTTTATGTATACGTGAACAAATCTGATACCTACACGACGGATACGGACGATTGGATTGATTTCATCTTGGCTAAAGTAACCAAAATTTTTGGGATAGTTCGGAAACAGGAAATGTTTGAAATTATGGACATCTTATGTCAAAATCCGTACGACGCTAGGGCACTTCTCGCATACGCGTATCAAGCTCAGTTACAACGTTTGGAAACGTTTAAGCAAAGTCGACCCCAAATTGAACCAATTTTGAAGTTAACGTTCGACTGGGTGATGAACGAGATTTTGGTTTCGTTGAACTACTGGGGACCTGCTTACACGAACTTCTTCTTGACCGAGGTGAGATTTATTTACAATAGATTTACCTATACACATGCGCATCCTAAATAAATGCGTATTTCTTATTCTCATAAGTTTCACATATGTGCGAAATTTTGAAATTTGCAGTGTGCATTCATATCACACTGTTAGAAATCTGGTATTTTTAGGCATAGGAGTGTTTATTTCTCGATATTAAATTTTTACCTACCAGTATAACTTTAATACCTAGTTGAAACAAATTTAATACCGAGCTACATATTTCCACACGGTATTATAAATTTATCAATCCGACGTTGATAGAGCCATATGTTTGTTTACTTATAAATACCGCTCTATGTTATTTTAAATGCTGGAATTTTTAGAGCGTATGTACATATCGTCATAAATAAACCAGTGTCGAGAATGGATAATATATATATTATTTCTGTTGCAGGAAATTTCTGAAATGAGCGTGGAAGAATTTATGGAAACGATAGACAAACCTTTGCAGCTTCATGGATATTCAGTTTACGAATTGAATCCGAGATTTCGTGAAATTTTATCGGAAATGTTCTATCGCTTTAACGGAGAGACTGACGAGGTGGGTGACAGATAAATTCGAAATTCATAATTTAACACATACATTTAAATTATTTATAAGACTACATTTGTTTAGGAAATTTTCGACCAAGATTTGCCAACGTTACGCATTTACCTGGAAACTGGTAAATGCGTAAAAACGTTTTGTAAAAACTTTTGTCCAGGATGAAGACAAATTCTACAAGTTTGTGTCAGATTACAGTGAAAATTTGATAAACGTAGTTGCCCGTTCGATTTTAGAAGTTGTCCCTCTTAACGAAATGATCAGCTTCGTCAACATTATTAATCGGGATGAGCCCTTGTACAGTATAGGCAGAAAGTCATTATACCCTCATACTTTATGTACATAAAGCCTCATATTTTTTGATAAGCTTCAGAGGATGAACTGCAATTTTACACAATTACTTACTATGATGCACCTGTACCTATCTGGGGGTCACTTTGGATTCAAAACTGAACTGGAGACTGCATTGCGATACGAAGGCGCGGAAAGCCACCGTGTCTCTAATGCAATGCAGACGGGCTATGGGCCCTACCTGGGGTCTTGGTCCAAAAGGTAGTCTCTGGATTTACAAGGCGGTGGTTCGGCCGGCCATGGAGTATGCTGCGATGGTCTGGCTGCCCGCGACCAATAAAAAATTCTGCGACCGGCTTCGGAGGGTACAGGGGCTTGCACTCCGCATGGTCACTGGTGCTCTTCCGACTACTCCGACTGCGGCCTTAGAAACCCTACTTGGTGTCCTTCCAATTCAGCTAAGACTTCAGGAAGTGGCTCTTCAATCTTATTTAAGATTAAGGGTCCGTGGTCAATGGTTGAACTGGGTTGGATACGGTCGTGGTTTGAAGAAAATCACTCACATTGAGATGTGCTCTAGCCTGGCTCAGAATATTCCTGAGTTGGGCTTTCCTTATGACTATAAATCTGTTAAACCTCCCGAGGCTCGTAATTTTAAAATACGGGTCGCTACTCGGGAGGAATGGCTAGATATGTACGACAACTACTTGGATCTACCTGGGCTCCTCTGTTTTACGGATGGGTCTAGGGGTAAGGGGGGATCCGGTGCAGCCTTCATAATTGGTGAAGGTGGTAACTTCATGGATGGGCCTAGTGGCGTTACACCTCTGGGTAATTATGCTACGGTCTTCCAGGCTGAACAGATTGGGGTTCTTTCGGCGTGCAACTACATGTCAGAAAATCCAAGTCTACACAAGGAAGTGAATATCTTTGTTGACAATCGCAGTGTCCTTGATTCTCTTCTTAGTGAGCGGCTGGTTTCCTCCCTCACGGTTGAGCTTCATAGGGCGCTGCAGCAATTGAGCATTCACAAAGACATTACCTTACATTGGATCCCTTCCCATTGGGGTTTATGGGGTAATGAAGGCGTGGATAAGCTGGCTAAAGAGGCTGCTAAAATAACAACATGCGGTCCAGAGCCAGTTATCCCTGTCAACTCAGCAATTGGAAAATTTGCAATAAAACAATGGGCTCAGAATGATCATCGGGTCTATTGGTCCAACTTACTTAATTGTAAGTTCTCAAAGTTGGCCCTGCCAATACCTTACGAGGGTCTAAGTGGGAAATCACTTGGGCCCACGAGGGATGGTATGAGGCTAACAACTTTTGCCATCACAGGACACTGTAATTTGAATGGGCATCTGTATAAGATGGGTCTAGTTGAATCTCCCATCTGCGAGGAATGCGGGGAAGGGGACGAGACAATGGCTCATATACTCACAGACTGTCCCGCTTACAGTGCCCTGAGATTTAGGACCTTCCTTCGTTCTACCTTAAGGGTGGAGGAAGTATGAGAGTATCCTCTCAAAGACGTGCTGGCCTTTTTAAGGTCTGGCAGATTCGCCATCTTTGTAGCTGGGGAATCGAGAGAGGCTCCGACACAATAATCGCATGCGAGTGCATTGAGGTGTCTGCAATAGGTCCAACTGGTGACCTGCGCAGCTGGATGTCTACCCCTATGGGTAGGAATCCTCCTCACATAATACATACATACTATGATGCAAGGTCTCCGGAACCATACTTTGGATAACGGCGGGGCACAAGCAACGACACGGTGAAATTATATCCAAAATTCCGACAGGAAAAAAGTCTTTATACCCCGATTAAAATGTCATGAAATATTTGTTCAAAGTCTTCCGTGTTAAATAACAGTCAAATTAGCATCTGGGATGTCGACCCGGATCGTTTAGGAAGGCAAAGACACATTGGCATCTACTCAAAAAATGAGCTGGTGAAAGAAGTGTCGAAATTCTCCAATTCATGCTATTTGGCGCCGACCAGTCTTTGAAGTTTGATGGCGTGAGCTGGGAAAATTTTGGACTTCACCAGAAGTGTTCATTAACATGCTGTCCGATGATTATGGATGGCAATTCAACCATTCAAACTCATTTGTTGTAAACCAAATCTTCAATAATTTTGATGTGTGCTTAGAATCGCCTTGCTATATGAAAATATAATGATTCCCTAACGGTTATTTCCTCCCATAGCCATCAAATTCCAACCCAGAACGTCGCAGTAGTAGTTGGAGTACATGATTACCTCGCTTGTATTAAAGTTACGGACGCCCATCCACAACGTAACGCCCAAACAATTCGATTTCCACACCCATCCTTAATGCTTAGCGTATTGTAGTTGGTTTTATCAGCGTGTCTTTGCTGAATCCATATTCCACTGGTCCCAATTTGAACCAAACAGGTTGATGTTGACGTCGCCAAACAATATCAGGAGTTTCTAACATTTAGCCGTCCAATTATCATGATTTTTAGCCCATTTAGGGCTGTCTACAATATAGGCCTCGCGGAGAAATAAAATTCTAAATGTTGCTCGCTATTCAAATCCATCTTAAGCGATCCTATTCTTTATAATTCGCACAGACACTCGAAGATCGTATTCTTCCCTCGTTTCCAAACAGATTTTTGGTGAAGATAACCGTGAAAAATTTGGCTTTTGGTGAAGTTGCCGTGATCCGTCCATGGGGGTGTGATCCATGTACGTAATAAATCTGTTAAATTCCATACCATCCCAAATGTTTTGCAGTTCTGGACTATGCCGGCAACTGTACCATTCTTAATGGGTAGTTAGCCGGAAATTCTTTGGTGTCGAAGCCTTTCATCATCAAAATCTTCGAAGTTTTTTCTCAGGACGAGGTTAAGGTGTTTCTGAGTGATTATCAGCTTATATTAGTAACAGACAATTAGTTCAGCATTAGACAAATGCTATTTTTCAATTAATGATGACTCATTTGGTGCGTTATGAGCGATTTAAGAGGATGTGTTCAAAAATTATATTACAAATACCTAAAAGTCAAAGGGTGTAAAGACTTTTTTCCTGTCGGAATTTTGGATATAATTTCACCGTGTCGTTGCTTGTGCAACGCCACTATCCAAAGTATGGTTCAGGGAACCTTACGTCATAGTAAGTAATTGCGCAAAATTGCAGTTCATCCTCTCCAGCTTCTCGAACAATATGAGGCTTTATGTACAAAAAGTATGAGGGTATAATGACTTTCTGCCTATACTGTATCTGCTTCTTGTCAGAGCACAGTATAAAGAAAATCTTGCCAAGCTTGAAAAACTTTATGAAGAGCATGGAGAAAAACAGAAATGTTCTGAAAATTTTATCAGATTTTTTGAAATGTTTAGACTGTATGCTTCATACAGGAGAACGGAAGAGTTGTAAAAGAACTAAGCGTTAAATTTCATTGTGATGTAATTAATTTTATAATTTGGTAAAATTATAAAGTTTAAAGTAAATATGTTCCTTGTAGGTAATGGTACAAAACAGAAACGCGTTGAGATTTTTGTCAATTTGTGAAGTCATTATTTTACAAATTATTTAATACATAAAGTGAGAAAGTAACGGATCTATTTTATATTACTTTGTTTTCAAATTTCCTAACCAGATAGGTGTTAGTATGACTGGCTAACACGATTTAATTATTGCCTTTAGTACCACAATTAGAAAATCTAGTGATATGTAATTATTTGGCCTGCGCATATGACAATAATGTTTCAAAAAAAGTGCTATAAATAAATTTGAAATTGATGTATGTATGAAATGCGGATAAGTGCATAAGCTAATACATAAAATTAAAATTCGAAAATCTGTGCTTGCAACTTAATGCAGTATGTATTATAAATTATGCAATTTTTCCGACCCCTTCTCCACATGGTTTCCGACGTCTTCCAAGTTTCTGAAAACTTTTCCCCACGCTTCCCAAAATCCGAGCGTCTGATAAGGAAGGTCATATTTCTTCGCCAGGGCGGCCACTCTGTCTCTGATGAGGTGATTATTATACTGCGGCATCTGAGGAAAAAGATGATGTTCGATCTGGAAGTTTAGATAACCCATCCACCAATCTGTCAACGGGGTGGAGGTGATGTCCACGGTGTGCTCTAAGCCGTACTCCACCCAGCTTTTCCCCTCTTCAGTTACATCGAGATGGGTGTGGTTCAGCGTGAAGGTTCCAATGAGGTAGGTCGAGTATAGAAAGTGGATGATACAAAGGTTTACAGGACCCAGAAACGCGATCCAGATGAGATGGTGCAACGACATGAAGAACGCGTCCGTGTAGGCACGTTTCTTAAGAACGTAGCGAGGGCAAAGGAAGCTAGAAATAAAATTGAATAAATTGATGTAATTTCGAAATTTTTACTTATGCAAATTGAGCAATATGAAAAAATGTGGGTGCAACAAAATCAGGTGGCAGCATAAACTTTAAGAGGTTCTACCGACCGTGGGGGAAAAATTCATTCTTGAATCTTTAAATTTTTATTTAACTAGGAATTTGAAATTATTTTAGATTTTATAGTGCCTCAATTTAAAGACACCTTGTTCACGCAGTCCTTGGTAACTTTGTAAAATCTTTAAATTGAAAAAGTTTTACAAACTTTATCAATATGCATTTATATTTTCAAGGAAATTTAGCTTACACATTTTTGCAACTTTACTCAAATAAAGGGGGTAATTTTCTGTTTTGTGAAATTGTGTAAACTTATGTTACATATACAAAATCGAATACAAATCGCCTCTACATATACATATATGTGTATGCCATGTTTTGGGATTAAGGGATTCTACAATTAATATTTATTCTGCTCGAAACTTTAATACCGAGATTCAGAAATTTTTAAAAACTTACAATTTCCAATTAAACATGACCAGAAACGTATCCACTACGAGGAATAATTTTGCTTGGTTCCGAATAAAGAAATTATTCGTTGAAAATCCACCCATTTTCGAATTTCGAAGTACTTTTTTATTGAACGCAATTAGGGGAAGGGTTTCCAAGTCGACGTCATATTTGAGACGTTGCGGCATCGCGTGATGTCGATTATGCTGACTGTTCCACCACGCCGGGGAAACCCCGATACTCATCGCGAACGAGAGTTGGTGCAATAATTTGTCGACTTTGATATTTCCGGTTAGTGACCGATGCCCAGCTTCATGTCCGACCCACCCGGAACGACCGACGCCTAAGGCGGTGGTGAAGAAGCCGACCCATTTTACGATTTGGGACGTACTACTGGTCAAATAGATTCCGTAACTCATTAAAATAGCGCATTCCATAAAACGGACGAACACGTGGAAGTACGACGGAGTGAAGAGACCTTCTGCCTCAAAAGTGGATTTAAGCATGGATAGTTCCTGGTTGAAGGGAGCATCATTTCTTTCGAGTTTCTGATCCTCAGGGGAATTTTGAAGCGCTAAAGTGACGAAGCAAACTTGAATTTATTTTTGAATTATGATTATTAAATAATTATAATGGGCGTATTCACGTCAACCTTCGAAATTTCATAAATTTAACGAATCAACATAAAAATTTCCGAAATTTGTCAGATATAGCAAACTTTTAGGTGAGAAAAACCAAGATAGCCGTTCAAAACTCAATACAGGGTAGGGTAACGGGTCGGGTACCCGTTACCCGCATACCCGCACGATTCTTGCGGGTAGCGAGAACTACCCGCACGGGTAACGGGTAGTTCAGTTTTTATTTAATTTTCGTCAAAACTCAGTTCACAAAGAAAGTTAGCAGCTAGTTAGTCCATTTACCAACAAAAGCGTCAATTTATTATTTTTCCATTTCAAAATTTGTCATTTGTCAGCAACAAACGTTTATAGCCGGAGTCTCTTTTCGGAAGCCACAGAAGCCTATGCTAGCCTCAAATATATTTGACGTCCAGAAACTGCGGAGCAATTATTGTTTGCCTGCTCTAAATATAGTAATAATTTGACTTGTATTTGTGTGTATTTATGTATGTAAGACTGACGAGATTTTAACATGTTCGAAGGTGAAAAACCTGAATCCGATTCAAAGCAAAAAATGTATTTGTAGATAATATTTTCGAATGAAAACTTAATTCAAATCAAAATTTGAAAAAATCAAACTAAAAATTGAACCTTTTTCAAGCCATACCAAGATTGCCCAGCGAGTATATAAAAAATTCAGGCCACAAATTAGGAATCGCGTGATACTTATCTTTCCGTTGAACGGCCCCTTCGAAGAAAAATATCGGCGGCAAAGTTTAATTTTCAAGTAAATGTTCCGTATTTTTTCCTCCATTAAACAAATACCATGGTGGACTTTGAACTCTCTATCCCATCCCAATAGTTTCCATTAAACGGGTCATTCAACGGAAAAATAAGTGTCATGTAATTCCTATTTTTTGGCTCAATTTTTTGACATATGTGCATAAATCGGTTTAGCTTGAAAAACGATTCAATGCAAGCCAAAATTGTTGGTTTCAAAAATAACGAGTGATATTTACGAGCAAATTATGGCATGCGTTACTTGCATAGCATTATCTTAAAGTACATATCAACCCAAATGAACAAATAATTGATCAAATCATATTTATTCTGAAGTTTGGTTAGTTTTTAACCTAATTCTCATAACGGGTAGCGGGTAACGGGTACCCGCACGGGTACCCGTGCGGGTACGGGTAGTTGTGCTGCGGGTAGCGGGTCGGGTAACGGGTAGCATTTTCGCTACCCGCGGCAACCCTAATACAGGGTGTTTTGTCCGCAAAACTTATATTTCGCAATATTTTTAAGCAATATATACATTTGACATATATGCAAATGATCTGCATTTCGATACCAAATAAGCCCCCTTTGCCATGAGTACGCCCAGTAAATTTAGTGCCAAATATTTTATTTGCCATTTTTCCTGACTGCCTCCCGTTTTGGTAGCTGCTTCAAGAACTTTGTCGCTGTTGTGATGCATCTCCCGTGAAATTGGTCAAATGCTGCGGATGCATCTTCACCTTTTTTGGTGTAGAATTTGATAATGCTTCCCGGGGTGACGAGATATCCAGTTTGTGACGTCGTAGTAATGCGAATTAATTAGAATTTCTTGCTTCGTTTCAAATTCTGTTCGAGGTGAAAGATATGATCCCATTTTCTGGAAACTTTATTTAGGTAACGGATTGTTTCGAAAATATGTATACATTTACAATTCCTGCTGGACTTTTGTGTTATTTTATTAAGTGAGAACTGTTTCGAAGCTGAGTTGCAACTGCTTGCTGATTATTTATTTGCAGTTAAATATATGTACATATGCAGTGCATTTGCATTTGTTTGACTGTTTTAATACTGCAATTAGCTGGACTTTCCAGGTAATAAAGTGATATGGGAAGCAAATATTTTGCAACAATTCATAACAGCTTTATTCTGGATGAAGAATATTTTTTTAGATATACTTAATACCCATACGCAATACGGCTATGAGAAAATTTTAAGAATGAAATAAAGTTGCACTGATCTGTTATTATGATCTATTAGTTATCGTTTTTTTTCTCATCGAGTGTGTATTCACATGCAGAAATAACGAGTTTATGGTAGGTATTGGACTCAGTTTTTTTGAAGGCATACCTACATACATATTTCTAATTGCGGCATAGGTCTTAGATTCTGTCCCCGATTTTATCAACAATCGCGAGTTTATAAAAGAAATTTACGTCAAAAAAATTAAAATTTAATTTAAAATATTAGCCTACTATTAGTAGTTACTATTGTGTTTTGAAATTTAAAAAACGCATTGCATTAAAAATATCAAGTGCAACATGTTTCTAATACAGTTTACTCTTATTTAAACGTTATTTCATTCGCCGTAATCATCTTAAAAAATTTTAGTTTTCAAAATTTTGACTAATAATTTTGAAGCGTTGTAACTTTGTGTCCCCACTTATGTTTGTCTCAAATGTTTGAAATTATAATGTAATATCCAAATAGTTTAAAATTTCACGAACCATGAGTGGGGGCAAGAAGTTATTGTGATTTTAGTAGCACATGTTAGCTTATTGGTGGGAAATTCTCAGCCAGCGGTTGACATTTGATAAATTACTTATTTTCCTTCTACTAACAAAAATATTTATATCTTTCAATGAGCTAAATATAACAAGGAATAGTTTAAAATTTGTGAGAAGACGTATTTTTCCATAAGAAACGCATACAAAATTGCGTATCATTTTATTGAACAGACTATACAGTTGTTCCCACGACGAAACTTTTTGCTTATGTACAGGAAATGTGACCAATTAATGCTGCGTCATTACATAATATAATAAACAGTAGAAGTCCATTTGTGGACACTGTTTAAATACATGTCCCCATATTGGTATTTCATAAATTACTTGTTGGTTGTGAACTAATTTTTCCTTGTGTGTATTTGCATACGTCAATCGCACATTAATACGTCAGGACAAGTACGAAGATTACTTGTGCATGCATTCTTTCCCGACAATCGCCTTAAAGTTGCACCCTAAGATTTTAAATATTTATCTATATCCCAAGAAGTAATATACGTATATACATAATCGAATATTTTAATGACGATAAAACCTCCGAAATGTATTCTGTAGCTGTCTTGTCGTCAATCGTAACAAGGTTTATAAATTAGAAAGTTTGATCCAATACAATTATGTGTGAAAAGATTCGGCTGGGCATCATTTAGGTAAATTGAAAAAATAAAAACATCTGCATATGTATATCGACAATGATCGGATAAGTATCTATCTACGAATCGGATTTTTTTAATCAAAGAATATTCCACAATTTACATTTCATGACACAGGTACTTATGTGCAGATATATGTAAATTAAGGCTGGGTTACTATTCCTGGTTGCTTTGTATTTTGTATATATTTATGCAATCTTGGTGATTCTGACTGTTTGCAAAATCAATGACAAACCTTGACAAATTAACTTGTATGACAAATTCTTTGCTCATTCATAAATGTGTAATTTGGCCAGACCAGCATGTTTTGAGGCAACTCACTAAACCAAATTTCATGTTTATATAGTACAAGCATGTAGCCAATCAATACAGATATCAGCCTTTTAATAAATTTATAATTACTTGCCTTATATAAGTTTCAATTTTAGGGACACATTAAAAATGTATTACTTTTTTTCTAGTTATATTTAGGATTAGAAATTTCAACAAATTTTAAGATATGGGTATCGATATTGGACAAGTTTAAAACATTCTACTTTGTATCTACTAAAATGAGTGAGTAGAGTTTTAACATGTAATCTCCATACATACATATGTATAAAAAATAGCCTAAAAGTATATTGTATTACTATTATACATATATTAAACAATGGCCTTCCCTCAAACTAATTGGTCAACTACTAACGAGCTCATCCTATTTATTTAGGAATAGTGCCACAGTTTCTCCGACTTTTACCGAATATTTGAGCTAAATATCTGTAGACATATTTGTAAAAGGATATATAAGTGAACCATTATTCTTCCAATTGCTTAGGGTTTAGGTATCCTAAAGAAATATTACATTTTCCCCAAATATCCATTGGCATTCATGTCCTTGCAAATTATCATTAATCAGAAATAAAACGAATAAAATTCCAAACAACTTCTGAAACATCAAGGCAAGGAATTTTCCCAGAATATAAAAGCCAATATCCTCTCCTGTACATATTGGATAAGTTGATTCATAGATAAATTATAAATTTAAAAGGTACCCTCTGAAATCATGCATGTGAAAGAAACTGTCTACCTGGAGATACACAGGTTATAAATATGTGTATGTAGTTCGCTTCACTCGCAAAAATTTCCACTACAGAAATAAACTACTACCAATCTGGTAGGAAGTTATTACCAAATCAACACCAATACAGACTAAATAAATACAAATGTGCCATTACTAGATTTTTAACAGTGTAGTCAGAGATAGGTTTGCCTGTGCCTTGTGCAAGCAATACCTGCCACATCCTGTATGTACATACATATGTATTTAGGCGTCCCATAGGAGAAATTTTTGAATTTTCAGGAGTGAATTATACTTCAGACAAATATTTACAATGGTTAACTAACCATTTAAATGAATTTCCCATATGGATTGGCCACACCCTTGGGTGTGGTCCGTCTGGTCCAGTTCTTGTACATGGAATACTACCCTATCCCGGACCAGCTCCCTTATCAATTTGCTTATCAAAATGGAATTCCTCACGCGGTAGCGGTGCCACTACCATTTTATAATTACAGAATGTTATCCGACAAGAAAATTCCTTCCAAAAAGATCGTGCTCGCCCTGATAAACACTGACTTTGACAACCACTGAAACGCTGGTATGACAAATTCATCCCACTGTTGTTCCTCCTGGGGACATTATTAGTGTCCGTGATGTCCATCTATTATTTGGCTGGAGATGAGGATCAGATCTTGCAAGATGTCCGTTTTTAGTGGTGGATGTGCAGCATAATCGTCAGCATGATGTGCATCACCGCCTACTTGATCGTAATCCTGGATACGGATCAGATAAGCGTTCATGCTTGGGAAACAACGGTAGAATTCGATTGGCACGTTCGAAAAGGTAAATGCATTGCAAAATGCATTCATTCAATTAGCATAACATTATTTCTTCCGGTGCCATGCAGTTCATAGTCATTCTTTTCATTGTTTCGTTTTCATATATAGAATAGGCTTTTCATAGTTCGTTTTTTCATAGTCGGCTTTTACATAGAATGTCTTTACATATATATAGGTAGTCGTTACTTAAATATTACGATTGAGTATTATTGCCCTCCAGTGTCCAATTACACAATATCTATGATATCCGCCAAGCTCATGCATGTTTAACTCAAAACCAAATTTATACATTACATTGAGGGTATTCGTTATTTCTTCGTATCCTTAGTATCGTAAAATAGTTTACGAAGAAAAAACAAGGGGTCAGGTTTCGTAAAAATCGTAAGCGTAGTAACGCGATTTTCTATGACAAAAACTTACGACGCTTACAAAATCTCGTAAGCGTCGTAAGTTATTTTACGACACGAAGAATACTAAGGATACGAAGAAATATCGGTAATGGATATCCTCATTGAATTTACAGAGATTGAAATCCACTCCAGCCTTAATTACCGGAAATTAATACAAAATTGGGGTGACAGTTTGGTCTCTCTTATCCTCTCGGGCTTCGTGTTGATGTCCTACTTTGGAGTCCCAGTCCTCGCGTTTATTTCGATTGTTATCTTGGAATTGGACCCAGTTTCTTACTTGATTCGACACATGTTTGTGGAAACTATTCCTGGCATGAATATGCGGTTACTCATATTTCTTTTATGTTACACATGCAATATTTTAGCACTGTACGAAATGAGCCGCATGATATGCTTAGGATTTTCAAGTGTAATTTATTGCATTCACTGCATTAGCACATCTATCAAAATCTGTCCTTTATTCTTAACTAAAATAAGGAAATTGTACGATTTGCATGTGCTAATTATGTGGTACCAATTTTGGCAGATCCAAGTTGCAATTGCAGAATTTGTGGTAAGAAACACGGTTTCAGTGGGGCTATTGGGATGTTGCACTTTCACAATTTCCGTGAGTTACACGATAATTAGGTTACACGCTATATTCTCTGAGTACATTGTTTCAAATTACGCTTGCCTTTTTGTGTATTACCCTTGTCGTTAAGTTTGGCTGGGGGAAGATTTCGAAATTTCACACGCAGACGAACTATTTCCTTGAAGTTATGGTCAAGTTAAGGACTCTGAGAAAAATTAACACGGTTTCAGAAAGAAAGTTGCATTGTAAAGTGATGAAGTCTATGAGGCCTATTGCGATCCCGGTGGGGGTCGGAAACTACACGTTTTTTTATGCGAAACGATCCAATGAGCTTTTGTTGATAAGGTTTGTTGTGGATAATACAATTTCATTGCTACTTATGGACTAAATGTAGGTTGAAGCTGTGTGATAAGAAACAAATATGTTCTAGATTTTAGTGCTTAATCGTTTTTAGTGAATATGGTAAAAAGTACAGGCAATAAAGGTGAGCAGATAAATATTTCGAAATTTTTACGTATGTAGATATGTATGCAAATGCACGAGAGCAGAGGACAGAACACACTTGCGTAATTAAGTATCAACCTATATAACTACGCGAAAGACTAATCAATTTAGCGAAGCTAAATAGTGAATGTATGCAGAATTACATGTGTAGCAGTGAAACTGTATAAGAATACGATCGATAAAATAATGCATTCTGCCTCACACAAATTTGTTTAATGACTTTAATTCCATTTTACCAGTACAAAAGTCAACAATAAAATTAATACGCTTCCACCCATCCTGCGACCACTTCCTCCTCCCATATTCCGCTTGTACTTTCTGAGGATTAATCTATCTGCCCTTGACACCGCAACGAAGACGGTGTTTCCATCCTTCGCCACGGCAATATCGTGCGCAGCTTCGTACCAATCGCCAATTTCTCCATCAGGAACTATTGCATATGACTTGCCCACTTTAGAATTTTCGCCATTTATTATGTCAACCTCGGCAAAGTTAGCGTTTTGATTTAGCCCATATGTCACATAAATCCGGCCAAACTTATCGCCTGCGTGGGGTGCATGCGTCACCGCAAACATCATCGGCATCCCGGCAGCGCCAAACTGTTGGGAATTCAATTCATACAAAAATGAGCCGGTGGGATTAAAAACTTGGACTCTGGAATTGTCCCTGTCAGCTACAAAGACTAAATATTCGGTTGAGTTTGAACTTGGCGCGAGTGCAACGGAATGCGTGATGTTGAAGGGAATAGGGTTTGGGGTGTCGGCAGACCCGGCGGAGAATTCAAATAAATAATTCCCATTCTTGTCAAACGTGACAATTCGGCTGTTGCAGTAACCATCGGCCACGTAGAAATCTCCACTTCCAGGAACAAGGGCAATGTCGGATGGGGTGCAGAAGTGGGTGGTGTCACTTCCTGAGATAAACCGTTCTCCGATGGTGAGAATGGCGGAGTCGTTCCATACTTTCGTTATGGGGTCGTATTTAAACTAAAAATGGTAAGAAAGCTATTAAATTACTTACATTTATGTGTAAATTATTTCAGTATTCGGAAAAAAATATTGCAAATAATTGGTGGCAAAAATATTGTCGCCTAACGATATTAATGTAATATTAATATTTATTCATCATATTGATAATGATTTGCTACACTGTTGGAAATCTGGTATTATCAGTAAGGTATTGATTTCTCGGAATATTAGAGTTGTTACCGTTTGGTATTGAAATTATACCGGTTCGCAAAAATATACTACAGTTATGGTAAAACTTGAATACCAGCATAGCTCTGACTTCACGGTTTTCCTTATCAACACCACTTTGGCAGAGTCATATATGAATACCGCTTGGTATTATTTTAGTACTGGATTTCTAAGAATGTTGTCACCTTAAAAATTTGATGAAGAATCGCGTCCGTAACGAAAATATCCCCCTCTCCTGTAACCGCGATACCGTGTGGCCAATGGAATAAGTTTTTCCCCCAAGTTTGCAGTATTTTCCCCGTCACGGAGTCCACGACTAGGACAACGTCTTCTTGAATCGTCTGATTTACAGGTGCTCCCGGCTGCATGATGCCACTTCTGTGGATCACGATTAAATTGCCCTCGGAATTTAGGACGATTCCAGTTCCGTAAACTTTCATCTCTTTCACGGCCGTGTCTGGCCATGTGGGATCCAATTCAAAGGAAGCCACGGATCTTGTGCATATCGACACGACGAGTAGTAGGAAATTTAAATATGTTTCCATTTTCGTAAATGGAATTGAGACGGAAAATAAATTTTATGATTGGAAAAATACTAAAAATTTAAGGTTGTGGATTGTGATCAATCTAACTCGAGTTGGATGTAAATACAAATAAGCACAGATTTTGAATGTGCATTTTGCAGTTATATATAAACCGGGTATATAGTTAGATTGTATTTAAGTACAAGTGGCACGCCGATAACATCTTAGCGTCGTAGTATTGGTTGTAATCGGAATTCCCACTGTATGAACACAATTCTTTAGCATTGACTAATATGCATGTCCAGGGATTCAATATCATTGGAAATCCCGATTGCAGCCATCAATTTGTTGTCAATACCATTCATCAATCAATGCAGATACGACTGACTGGATGATTAAAGTAATTAAATTGTATGTATCTGGTCAATTAATGTGTCAGACATAAGCACGTGTAAACCGTTACAAATGTGCATATCTATTTACATATGTATATAATATGTAACAAAGAGGTGAAACCAAGTACTCTCATATCGACACGTATTATTCTTTTGACATCGGTGAAAAGACGACCCAGAGAAAGAAGAGCGTGTAAGAAATTAGCTCTCCCAGTCCCAAAATAACGTCTAAATGTACCCACAACGTTACAATTTTGAAATTTTTGACGTTAATCTAGTTCTAGCGGTTAGTATGCCAACCCAGATAATTAAAAACCAATTAAAAATAAATATTACTAATTTGGAAAAGTATTATGATCCTGCGCTGTGCCCTGTGACCTTTTTACGCAGCGCCTTAGTTTTAGGCACTCATGCCCAAACTTCAAAATGAATTATAATTTTCTTCAGAGTTTCATGTTTCTCGGCTGTTTCGCTAATTATACGTATGTATAGCACCAAGGGATGACGGACAGGCATACCGATCTTATAAAGGAGGTTCACTTCTTGACAGGTAAATAAATACACTGAAATGGTTGCATTTCAAGCATAAAAGTATGGTTTTGCTACCGTATATTTGACAAGTATGCAAGTATGTTCTTGTCGTTGTCCTTGTCCAATACGCAAAAAATTTACGTATGTATTTTCATATTGATTGATTAATTTACTGATATTTCAATGAAAGACCCGAAATGAGTGGATCAATAGGTTTCAAGGAAAATAAAAGAAGTCTGTGTATGTACAAGTTACAAATTAAATGCATGAGGATACATATTTGTTAATTAAGTTAAAAATGTGACATTCCAAGTCTTCAAAAATGGACTCGTTTATGTAAAAAATATTCTCCTAAACATACCGTAGCGATCGATCGCCGCGTATTGCTTATTATTTAGCATAACGACTGCTGGTCATGAGGTATTTGCAAAATATTTGCAGTAAATGAAGACGTTAAAAACACATATTGTCATTGTAGTAGTATTCAAAATAATGTTTGTCGCTATTTATAAACATTACATTTTTAAAGCTGTACATAGAATATGTAATTTTTATTCATGAGTGTAAGCTCAAAAAACAGGAAGTTGTTCTTTGTGACGCAAAAACACATAAGATCACTGGATAGGAAGTAACCAATATATTTGTATTTACGGTTGCTTTTACAATTTATTCGTACAAGTGCATACACTATCTACAACAATAGAGTATACGTTTGCGTATTTTTAATTGCGATTTGATCCCGTGCACTTACAGATTTGAAACTTTGCAGGCAGCTGTATAAACTCATTGGCGAATAATTCCGCGTCGTCGATTTTTAAGGTCACCGACAGGTCAAAAGTTCGAATTTTTTTAAACTTTCAAAATGAATAGTCGAAAAAAAAAGTTCATGGATAATTTTTTTTGAACTTTGCAATATTTTTTACTGGATGCGGCATGCGTTTTGAAGAATAATGAGCTTTGGTAGGGCCGTGTACGATTTTTTTGACGCCCACAGGAATTTTTCGCCAAAAAAGTTTGTAAGGCCTAAAATCGCGGCGAAATTCAAAGATTTGAGATATACAGAAGCATATATGCACAATCTATATACTTTTGTATATCTCAGATCTCTAAATTTCGCCGCGGTCGCGATTTTAGGCCTTACAAACTTTTTCTTTTCCAGTATCCGAACCCAAACAAGTCCATTTGACTTACATCAGGGGATTATACAGGTATTTCACTATTCGAAGTGATTTTTATCCCAAATCTAACTTCAAGGTCCTTTGCATAATCTTGGGTCAACTTTTCCGTCTGGGAAGACGCTGAGTCATTATGAAAAATCACCTTATTTATTTTTTTACCGTACAATTTAGGAAAGTGTTATTCTAAAAGTGGTTTCAATACACGGTCCACATCATACGTTGCAGATATCTTCAGTTTTTGAGGGACTTTGATAAGTGGGAGGATACCAGGATCCGACATTGCACCCACCAGCATAAACTGTTATAAAAAGTTCTCTTTCATAAAGTCATTTTGTATTAGCTGCAAATTAGAAGTTTTGGTGACAAAAATCATTTACATTACTGGTAAGTGGCGAGCAGGAAAAGTCAACTCGCTCACTAGGATGCACAGACTGTACCCGAACTCAAACTTTAAAAAAATCTTTGGCCACGAAATGGAAGAATTTGTCCTCAAATTCAGTGCGCACTGTAATTAATGACAGGATCCCGCGTCTTCAGCGCTAGATTTATGAGGGGGAGGAAATTTCAAAAACTAGATATTGTTTTCCACTCGAAAATTAACTGGCTTTCCATTAAAATTAGTCAGAAATTTGTAACACGAAAACTGTTGTGGCTACATCCTTTCTTTTCACTACCAGTTTGCCTGGGCCACCTAGTATGCACATACCTATGTATGTACTTACCATGTATTGGAACTGGTGGCAAATATTTATATTTTATCAAACCGGTTTGTTTTCATGGAATGACAGGATTCCATTTCGCTATCATTAGTTAAGATTATGCAATATTGGTTAGTTATCCAGAATTTAATGAACACACACTTTTACACACTAAGGATAAGTGTAACAATCAACTATGTATTCACGTATCATGAAAAATTTTCATTAGCACCTGTTCGCTATTAGTTTGGGTTATTTAATTTCACCAGGGAAGATTTGTTCCTCGTGTAAATAGACAGGACATGCTTTGTCTATTTGATCTTTCTGTTCAAAGAAAGATCCAACCTAGCATTTGAATAAATAAGCAATTTTGACTAGTAGGATTTTAGGATATGGAAAATTTTCCCCTCAGCCTGGAATTAATTGGTGAAACGACACACTACATTATTTATTCCGGAGTGATCTCATTACTCCCAATATTAAAACAAATTCTTATTGGGATTCATCACTACTTCGATTACGGGAAAGAATTCGTAGCCACAAAAATTTGGAAATCGGAGGCATCTCGAAGAAATGAATTTGATTTTATAGTTGGTAAGAATAGTCAACAAAGTAAACAAAGTACATGCATATTTAAATTCTTTATAAAATAATCGTGTAAAGAAATAAGCATCGATAAATTTCCAAGTTATGTACAAATATTAGGGAGTTTGCATGAATGTTTCCGTGGACCCTGAACGTGACGTAGAACCGTAGATTTTGAAACTACGTCGACGTTGCGTTGTGACAGTTTGCAAATTGACGTCCGTGTCGTAAACCGTAACGTAAAAATGCATCTTTTTTATACGTTGCACGGTTACGGAATTATAGTTTGCAATTCCACAAATAAATAAATACGTAATTATGTTTTCTATTCTTCCAATTTTTACTTTACAATTTTTAGTTGTGAATTATTTTAGAATTATCAACAAAAGTTTTTGTTTAAATTTCAAAACCCTTCCCAGCATTAACTTGACGGAGATAAGCAACCTGGGGGCGGTTGCACTAGACACTTTGCACCCACACTTTTCATTTTTAAGCTTTTTTTAAAGATTGTATTTCACCAAATCCGAGTTGCATTTAGAAAATTAGTTAACTAATTAATTTCAACAATTTCAGTCCTTCTTCCACATCTTTCTAATTACTAATTAATGCCAATTATAAAATCGTTAACCAAAGTCCTTGGATTAGTTTATCTTAATTAATATTAATAAATTCATCTGCAAAATGCACCGATTTTACTCTCCGTTTTGTCCGTTTCGGATGTAAATATTGCAAATTTCATACTAGTTAAATTTTTGATCGATTGATACTTTGTTAGAAATCTGTAAGAATAGGTGCGTTAGGAGACCTCCATTGTTAGTCAATCTAACACTGAGGAGGTGTGAGGTGGTTATCGCCAATTTATCCAGGGGTTTTCCAAAATGCGAATGTTTACGCCAGTTATAGAATTTGAAAAAATCAGAATTTTTCAAAACGCTGCCACTTTTCGAATTTGAACAAACATAATTTTTGATAAGAAGTACTATAAAAATTCATTTTATAAAATTTTAAATATTTTCATGCTATTTCTAAGTTTTTTTTAAAACGCAAAACCGTTAATTTTTTGAAAATCATAAGTTTTTTAAATGGGTTTTTTTATAATTTCAGACTAATTCTGAGCACAAACTGTGTATAATTTTTGAAATCGGGTTAAAATTCGAAAGTGACAGCGTTTTGACAAATTCTTATTTTCGCCAATTTTTTTAAATTCCGCTACGGGCGAAAACATGCGCATTCTAAAAAAACGCATAAATATGGGTCGGCATATTTCTGAGCGTGACAATTTAAAATTACTCCTGTCAAAATCGGAAATAAACACGTAACACCTCCTCATTGTAAGTAAATTCAAGCAATAAATAACTAATTAGGCAAATAGTGAGGAGATAAAGTCAAATTATTATTCTTAATTGTGATAGTATTGCTCCTAACATATTAAAACATTCGAAAGAAAGCTGTTAAAATATTTGTTTAAGGTTAAGGAATTATTTTGTATATGTATTTACGCTATTATTTGAACCAATTTTGTAGAAATGGTTGAGTCCGTAAAACGTCCGTGAAAATTAGTTTTTCACGTTGATTTTTAAACGTAGCGACAGAGAAAACATCGTAAATACGTGAAAAATTACGGATGTCTTACTACGGGTCACGTTGCGTGTTTTTATGCAAACTGTCGCCCTCCGCAACGTGAAGACGTGAAAAATTTCCGTGAAAAGCTACGGAATCACGTTGCTACGTCACGGAAATTATTTACGGAAGTATACATGCAAACTCCCTATTAGTCTTTGTCCAATAGGCTTAAAATTCATAGTTCCTGGAAAATTGAAAAATTTGCAAGACGCATGAAAGTATTATCATTTTACGTGTGTCTGGTTTTTAGTTGGGGGTGGAACTACCGGCTCATTGGTAGCTATTCGCCTGGCTCAAGCTAATTTTAGCGTTCTACTTCTCGAAGAGGGCGGCGAGCCATTCCCCGGTTTCGACATTCCAGCCGCATTTGCATTCGGACAATATTCCTCACACGGACCACACCTATAAAACGATCCCACAATCAGATTCATGTTTCGGTTTGGTAGATCGGATCAGTTACTGGCCAGCGGGGAAGGGTTTGGGGGGAACTTCTGCGTGGAATGCGCTCATCTGGACGAAAGGTCATGGGGCCGATTATGACGAGTGGGCCAAGCTCACTGGGGACAAGAGCTGGGGATCGGAGGGGACCAGGAAATATTTCGATAAGGTGATAGAATCTGTGGATGGAATCCATGTTGAAAAAGAGGGGACGGAATTGGGCAAGATAGTTTTGGAAGGGGCGATGCAGATGGGTTGGCCAGTCTTGGATACCAATGAAAAGTACAAAGATGGTTAGAGTAACAAGTTACATAATTTATCAGTCTAATATTTATTCCTATAGTATTGCTGATACTTTTTGTCTAAACTGTTATGTATACCTATTGTTCATTATATTTTTGCAGCCGGGTTTGACCACATTCCACTAACTCGGAAGAATGGGGTACGAACTGGAATTAAAGAAATGTTAAATAAGGCTCGATATGACGCAGAAGAAAAGTTAATTGTTCGAAAATTTGCCAAAGTTGTTAAGGTATGACCAATTTGTACCCACGAATGTAGATAAATTTGTAGATATTTAAATTTACCGAAGAGTGGTGTTACACATAATATATATTTTTTGCAGATATTGTTCAACCCAAATAAATCTGACACCGTCGAAACAATTGGGGTGGAATATGAGCAGTTCGGTGAAATTTGTCAAGTCTATGCAAAATATGAAACAGTCATTTCCGCAGGTGCAGTAGGATCACCGAAGCTGCTCATGCTTTCAGGAATAGGACCGAAAAATCACCTGAGTAAATTGAAAGTATGCAAATTCATACATATATTTATTTGCGTTAAGAAAGTATGTATGCATGTATGCAGGAAGAAGATTTTTTGTAGTTTGTACATACATATGTAATCGTGCCAATTATAGATTCCTGTCAAGTTGGATTTACCTGTCGGTGACAATTTACTCGGTAAGTGTTGTAATAATTTACATGGTAACACAAGTTGTTACTCTACAATTTCCGCTGTTATAACTCTGGTATGGTTACGCAGGTATTGATATACCAGTATTAAAGCGTTACTAAATCTTGGTATTAAGATTATGCCGGTCCGTGCAAATTTGTTACCCATATGGTAAAACTTTAATACCAAGCTTTGTACATTTTACAAGGTCGTACTTATCAATATTAACCACTTTGGTAGAGTTACATATGTATAAATCATACCGCTTGGTATGATTTTAATACTGGGTTTGAACCTTCACGATTTGGTATAAAAAATTTCCATATGTACATATGTATTTTTATAGATCATGTTGTTTCTATATTTGGGCCATATGTTATCAAGAGTCCCCTAACCTTCCATCCCATTCAGGACTTCAGTCTTGCAACACTATTAAAATATCTGAAAGACGGGGCAGGATTTCTGTCGACGACCAGATACCATGGCGTTGGTTATGTCACAGTGGGAAATACTAGTGTCTCACCGAACATACAATTTATCCCCTCTGCGGTTTCAATTCCGGACGCCCATGTCGCAGGATTATGTGAAACTCGGTGTAATACAAAGCCGGGTCTTTTGAGGGACTACTAAGCATTAATGGTCCATGTACCTTTTAAATGTTGTCAATCCATGAATTCCATATGTATGTAAATGTGCATGCACTTTTCAAAATTTACGATATGTTTCACAATAAAGTTATTTATCTATTTACATGCTTGGACTGCCCAAGGTACATTTAAATAAATATTTTTATTTATGTAAATATTTTTATTCAGGTTAGCTATGTCAATTACTTTCCACGCAAATATGACTGATTGCGAATAAGATAAATTAAAGTTTAGTTGGATTGAAATTTGTGTCCATCAAAATTAGATCAATAAATATTTAGTAAATTTTAGTTCCACATATATGCAAATATTCACTAATATGAAATGAGTGAATTAGTGTAAAATTAGTAAATTCTATCTATGTAAAAGTTTTTTTGATATATACATATCATAAGGGTTATTTTTTACTTGTATGCACATAAATATTAAATATATCATCGTGCGTCATATGCTATCTTTATTTTTGTCATGTGTATATTGAAAATAATCAAATATACCAAGAACGACACATGTTTTCAATTTAATACAGATAGCACTTTACATAAATGATTGCACAATAATTCAAACGTGCAAGAATTTAGCAATGCGTTGCTGGAGAATGACGATACTGCAAACCCTGATACAATTAATTGTCTAATTAATTACTGATACTTGTCCATATCTTTACAAGTGCCGTTTGACGACAAGTTTAACCACAAATCCGTCAAATCCTTTCGTGACGTTGTGATCAAATTGAGTTCTGTCAAATCAAACAAAGCAATTACTTATGTATGTATTGACCATGTGACATGGTCCATGTCGCAATTAACCTTTATACATGTGACGTAATCAAGATAAGTACGTAATTGATTCTCTGTTCTCAATAAATTCTGACCACCGCATCGATTCACCTTCATTCTCAGGACAGATTCTTAATAAACTCAAATACTTAAACTAGTAAAATAATTACTCATTCTAATCTCGCGACATGACATCCATACTTTTTCTCACAATAACCTTCATGGGGATTCTGACAGCCTCAGGTAAAAAAAATAATGCAGCATTACTTAAGACTTAAGGTTTATACTTCACTTTTTCGTAACTTGTGCCAATGTTCTAATTTCACTAGTTACCGAGGAGTGAAGTATAAACGCTCCTTTAGAATTATTTAATTAATGGAATATGTATGATTAAACTTCGCATTTTAACCAAAGCTGCCCCTTCACAAAGTTATGCCGATGAGGATCCTACTCCAGTTGCCACGGGTATAATACAACTTAAGCTTAAATATACACATTTTGAAACCCACCTTATTTACATAGCTAATTTCGCCTACACACATATTTATGATAGTAACCACCTGCGGAGGATATGTTAACACCTCCTCCGCATTAATTGAGTATCAACCTGGAGCGTCAATTAGAGCAGATCAGCAATGCGTCTGGATTGTGAAAGTTCCCTTAACCTTTCTCCGATTTCGCCTTGTTTCTTCCGGACTTGGAGAAAATGATGGACTTTTCATCAACGATTTCCTCTCATACGCGCCAACAACACAGAAAAAATTGTAAATTGGCATATTTACAGATGCAAAATTTTAGCCAACATGCAAATTTTTCATTATCCTATTTGCGAGCAGAATTGTTGGAGAAAATTATACCGTCTCCTCGGACCAGGCCGTCATCACTTTAAGCGTGGGGCATGCCCCGACACGTGGATTTTCCTTGGAGTTCTTCTCCAGTGGGATGGTCACTGCCCGCGGACCGTACTCTGGGTTCGCCAGCCTCAATATGAACAGTGGGAATTTCTCGTATCCAAGCAACGGGGGGCAGTATCGGGACGGAGAAAATGCTGTTTTTGTCGTCAACCCAATCGTCCCAGCGCAAAGGACGTTACGATTTACAAGAATGGGTTTAGAATACGCTAATAATTGCGTCTATGATGCCGTATCGGTGTACAATTGGTTCAATAATGAGTACATTCAATTAGGAAGGTGAGTACTATTTCAAGAACCAGTGTAAAATGATGTGGAAGAATACTTATGTAAGTCTTGATTTACATATTTACATATGCACACGAAGATATTGTGGAACTACATTACCACCAACATTTACCCTGGAGGCGGGCGTGGCTTTGGTAGTTTTCAGATCGGACACATCAAATGTGGGGGTAGGGTTTGCATTCGAATGGTTGTAAAAAATTTAAATAGTTACATAGATAATTGACAATTTTGAGGTGATAATAAAATTAATTTGTGTGTTCAAGTTTTTCTATGAATCATTTATCATGAAAATCGTTGCTGAATGAAAGGTGTAATTTTATAGGTAACACAGTTAAATAGGAGACATTTCAGGATTTTATTTTGAACCATTAAAAATGGCACATACATATGATTTTCCAAGAGATAAAATTTCGGAAACATTGGTCCATAAAACGGAATAGTCCATGTTCCTAAGGTGTGACACGTGGAACAAACCAATCCCTTAAGGCTGCACCTATGTATGTAAGCATGCAAAAATTAGAGATTTTGAATTTTCAGCTTATGGCAGCAATTATTTTTAAAAAAAGTTTCAAACATTTGTTTCAGTGAAGAGATGTCACATAAATATTTATAAAAAGCAATTTCATGTTTTTCAAAAATACCTCACATAATTGTAGAACCACATCCTCCATGGTTCGCAGCCTTTCTCGATACAGTCGTTTGGTCATGGTGACCACGAGTTCCTTCGCGTTCACTAATCTTGGATGGTCTTCAACAAGAAAGGGATGGTTTTCATAGTCGTGCACCAACTTGTAAAACATGGATTTCCTAATTTTTGGGTCGAGCAGTTGCAGCACCTCCCAAAATACCAACCCCAGTGAAAATATGTCGGCTTGAACCCCATAAAAAGACGTCTCCGCTTCCGGTGCTCGATATGAATTTGCTCCAACTCGAGATGTCAATCTTTCCTCATAATCGGGCAAAAATCGAGCCAGGCCAAAATCCCCAATTTTAACGGGCAGCTTGTATTTCTTATGTCGCGAGTAAGAGAACAACACATTCTCCGGTCTAAAATCACGATGTATAATTTTATGAAAATGTAGATATTTAAATCCCGCCAGTAAATTTGAAATAATCTCAACTTGAAAATCTTGCATGTATGAGGTACGTGGCTTATCATGCATATCGGATAACCATTCACGCAAAGATTGTCCGCAGATTGCCATCTTAATACAGAACGTTGGAATTATAATTTTGTGCTTGCGGGCACGTGCTGCGTGCAGATAAATTGAATCGTTGACTTCTTCCGGTAGTGAAACCTTGTGAAGAATGTCATTCAGGGAGTCCGACGTGAAAAACTTTTCCGAACATGCCAAAATTTGCACAATATTTGGATGATTTTTCGCCAACACCATTGTCTTGTACTCCCGGGTGACTTGTTTCCGCTCAACGTCCCGCTCCGGTCCGTCAGTTTCTGACAGAGAAATGAATTTGACGGCTTCCTTACTTCGCGTCCCCATGACAAACCCGAATGATCCTGAGCCAAGGAAATTTTCGAACTGTGTTTCATCTAACCATGTGAAATCAGGAGAAATTGTGATGGGGGACGTACAGATATTTTTGGAAACGGGTGTTCGTCTGAAATGCACCTGATCAAGATTTTGCAGGCGATCGGCTGGCCGTCGCTTCATCATCTGAATAATCAATTCCTTCGCATTCGTGATTTCCGGATGCTCCGGTATAACGCTGGAGTCATTTTCGTGCACTATTTTATAGTACAATTCGGACGACGTTTTCCTATTTGGCGGTAAAAGTACAGCCAGACAGAGCAGCCCAGCCGAAAATATATCGAACGTCTTGGAACAAGTAGCAGTGCTGGAGCTAGATTTAGCTTCTGGAGCTAGATTTAGCTTCTGGAGCTAGATAAAGATCGTAGTAATATAGCAAAGGATCAGTAACACTGACCAAGTCACCACCATCTTGACTCTCTCGGCGGTCAAAATTTATGGGGCGGCAAAACTGGAAACTTGAAATTTTTACGGGAACAATGTACTCCGTCGTTAACGTGTGGGAAAACATGACAGCTTCCGGACTGATGTGACGATGCACGATATCATTTTGGTGAAGATATCTCAATCCATCCAGAATTCCGGAAATGATTTTGTACTGAATTTCCGACAAATTTTCATCCACTGTTTTTCCAATTCTCAACCAAGACAACAGGTCTGGCCCGCAAAGTTCTATTTGTACACAGAGCGATACAGGTGAGGCCAGACCGTTTTGGTAAAACCTTTCTAGCTTCTCTGCATTCAAAGTCGACAGATTTTCACATCTTGCAATTATAGTTTCCAGCTCTTCGACTCCCCACTCTTTGAGGGACACGTTATAAATTTTTGTCACATTTGGGTGACTCATGCTTTTAACTAGGTGAAAAGGTGCAGCCAAGCTGTTGGCATGGGTGGCATTCGCGTTTCGGAGAAAGTTGACTTTAACTGCGGATAAGAAAGTGGTGTCACTGGTTTCAAATATAACTCCAAACATGCCAATGCCCAAAATTTTCCGGAATTTTTGTTCTGTCAGCCATGAGCAGGAATGGTGGTCACGATCAGTTGGCCCCATACCTTGAATGGAGAAGGACATTACCTGCATACATAATTAGTGTAGCCTTAATTGTACCATAATATTTATGGAGTTACTTACCAAAAAGTATTTAATAAATAAATTGTGAAACCAAACTATGAGAGTGATGACCAACACGTATTTACATATTTACGTTTTTGCGAATTTTACTTTAAAGATTACAAATGTATAAATCTGTGATTCATCATAGTCGTATCATTATTATAAACACAATCGTGACAGTCAGATTCAACATGCTGCCGTAAAAATCCCTTTCAATCCCCGGTTAAAGAGATTCGTATAAAAAATTCTTATCATACAATTGTGACTGGCAAAAGGTATTTCCAATCAGAAACAAAAGATGAAGGATTATATGTAATTATCTCTACGCATAGCATAGGTCAACTACAGATAGTGAATATGTTATTTATATGCAAATTATATTTCAAAATACAGCCTTGAATACTGCGAATATAAACTGCTATGTATGTATTATGTATATATATATTTAGATAGAAATTACCTGCATAAATACCTTAATTTATTGGGGCATAATGACTTTAATTCAATTAAGCGTAGCATTCTTAAGTATCTGTATGCCATGTGATAAATGGAGTCTGTCTTCTCCGCCTTCATGATATTTTGGTGATCCATAAAATGATCATAATTGGTGCCATGAAAATCTCTGTCGCTAATCGTAAAGACCAATTGCGCCATAGGTTAAAGGTGAGCATAATTATTTTCAATGATTAGGATTATACTGATTTCCATTGATGTGGAGGAGATTGGTTTTACTTATTTAGGATAAATTTACTGTCAAGCTTATCCACATTACCTACTTACGTATGTATCTACTTACAACCTGAATGCGATCAATATGTATGGAAATCATATTTACTTTGTTACCAATTTGGTTTCGTGGAAATGCTAACAATAAAACATATTTTATGCAAATTTATCATAGTTAATTCACGGATGCGAAATTTTCCATCATCATAGTTAAAATCATAGACCAGTGTATAAATTATCAATATTTTTGGTTAGTTGTCATCATAACCTTGGAAGTAACTTATAATTCATTAAAAGTTTTTCAGGATTTTCAAAGAGGATGAAATTTGTTTTGTTTTTTATATGGATAACTACAACAGGAGCTGCAATGGGAGGTGTGTTGCCATTGCATGACAAACAACCAGGTACACAATATAATACGCAATTAAATAATTTAGTTAATATTTACCGATTCCCCACACAGGGTATAACCAATAGAGTAATTTAGACGAATTTAATGTAGATATTGATTTTTTTACGAGTCAATTAGTGAAATCCCATAATAAATTATTTAAGACGAAATAAAATCTATGGGCGATTTTTAATAATGAATTTGGGTATTTGGATATTTCCAGGAAATGAATTGCCAACAAGTTTGCCTGGCCTGCTTCCACGTCAATTTATGCAACTCATTTTTCCATCTCGACCGAGACCGAATGAGAGAAGGGAACCACCATCTTATCTATGGCTGAGACCGGCTAACAATCATGGTCATTATGCAACGACCAGAAGGTCTGGTGCTGGACAAGTTACAAAATTCACGTCAGCAAACCCAGCAACTCTTCCTCCTCTCCCAGATCCATCAACTATTGGTGCGTTACTAACTACTTTTGCATCATTGCCAGACCCAACTACTCTTGCACCATTACCCGACCCAACTACTTTTGAACCATTACCCGACCCAACTACTTTTGCACCATTACCCGACCCAACTACTTTTGAACCATTACCCGACCCAACTACTTTTGCACCATTGCCCGACCCAACTACTTTTGAACCATTACCCGACCCAACTACTCTTGCACCATTACCCGACCCAACTACTTTTGAACCATTACCCGACCCAACTACTTTTGAACCATTACCCGACCCAACTACTTTTGAACCAGCACCCGAGCCAACTACTTCCGCACCGTTACCAGATCCAACTAGTTTTGAACCAGTACCCGAGCCAACTACTTCCGCACCGTTACCAGATCCAACTAGTTTTGAACCAGTACCCGAGCCAACTACTTCCGCACCGTTACCAGATCCAACTAGTTTTGCACCAATACCCGACCCAACGACTTTTGAACCAGTACCCGAGCCAACTACTTCCGCACCATTACCAGATCCAACTACTTTTGCACCAATACCCGACCCAACGACTTTTGAACCAGTACCCGAGCCAACTACTTCCGCACCGTTACCAGATCCAACTAGTTTTGCACCAATACCCGACCCAACGACTTTTGAACCAGCACCCGAGCCAACTACTTCCGCACCGTTACCAGATCCAACTAGTTTTGAACCAGTACCCGAGCCAACTACTTTCGCACCGTTACCAGATCCAACTAGTTTTGAACCAGTACCCGAGCCAACTACTTCCGCACCGTTACCAGATCCAACTAGTTTTGCACCAATACCCGACCCAACGACTTTTGAACCAGTACCCGAGCCAACTACTTCCGCACCATTACCAGATCCAACTACTTTTGCACCAATACCCGACCCAACGACTTTTGAACCAGTACCCGAGCCAACTACTTTTGCACCATTGCCAGACTCAACTACTTTCGCACCATTACCTGATCCAACTACTTTTGCACCAATACCCGAGCCAACTACTTTTGCACCGTTACCAGATCCAACTAGTTTCGAACCAATACCCCAGCCAACTACTTTTGCACCATTACCCGACCCAACTAATTTTGAACCAGTACCCGAGCCAACTACTTTTGCACCATTGGCAGACCCAACTACTTTTGCACCGTTACCAGACCCAACTACTTTTGCACCGTTACCAGACCCAACTACCCTTGCACCATTGCCAGACCCAACTACATTAGAGCCGATCCCAACTACGCTGGCTCCTCCTTCAATACCAACGACTATTGTTCCTTTTCCAACGACTTCACAAGGTTCCAGTTCAACAACAAGGGTAACACAACTGTATGAACGTTGCGTGGCTTATCGCTGTTGAGAAACATCTTTAATGCAGATCAGCATGGGTTGTATTTCTGCAAAGTATTAAATCGTTCATGAATATCTACATATGTGTGTATAATTAATTTTCAAATAATTGCCCCACGCATTTATGCTAAGACTTTGGTTAAGTTCCTTTGCAATTACGTCTGTGTATACATATAACGCAAGTGCGTTACAAAGTGTAAAATAAATCTTAAAATCGCATACTAGCTTTTCAGTTGTTCACTCACCAGCGAATCTGGGCTGAATAGATGAAACACATAGCGTCGTTTAGACTCAGGAGAAGGACTTCTACTATTCCGCTCAGACAGATTTCGATGCCCTTCGGATCTATAGGTCTACTCAAGCCTTACAGCAGTTTTATGCTGTCTATGGTGGAATTTTTTTCAAATAATTGCGTAGTGCATTTAGTTTTATTCAATTCACCATGAAGATTTAATTTATATATTTATGTACTTAATCAATATATTTAATACTAATTTTTCTATACTCGGAATAAAATTTAGAACTGATTGAGATCGACTGTACTTGGGAAAGAAGCCTCATTTTGAATGTCTTATGAACATCAAATTAAAAATAACGTATCAATTTTCAGCCCAGACATAAGGCATGCATGCAACGTTAGTTACATAAGTGGAATAAAAATGTTCTAGATACTTCACAAACATTTTTATTTGCATAGACTAGGAAAAAATAAAGTGGATTGGACACTATAAATAAGTAAATAGTTTTGCGTCTAAAAAATTATGTCATAAATGTTAGTGTGTCACAGGATAAGAAATACGTCATTGTCTATTATACATATGTACCTACATAGGTACGTACGTACGTAACTAAAAAACAACGAATTTATTTATGTATGTATATTGCACACATTAGTTTTCTTCGAAAAAGCGAGTATAAATATGTATGTATGTATAATGATCCCATATTACAGATTTATAATTGTCCCGACAAACGCATAAGATTTCAAAATGCTTTCCTCAGTTATGTAATACATCACATATATGTACATACATACCACATACAGTTCTACCCAGTATAATAAGTACGCAATTGAGCACAATTAGTCCACCACGTAGTTTTGACAATAAATGTCAGTAAAATTTAATGTTTGCTCAATAGAACAGTGAACTCTACTACGTTACTACATAATCCAAGGATAGTTTTTTTAGTAGAAAGACCATTCGAGAATGAAATTTCTTCCAAAAGTTTCCATCCCATCGCACACCCCATTCGAAGCCTTGCAACGATTTGCCCTACTTTCGGAATGGTTGTATCCTCAATTCATAACGTGGAACAGGGTGACCTCCGTGGCGACGGTGACCCCCAGAAAATATTTGGTCAAGTCGTACGCACTTACAGTCCTCCTCGCCTTGGCAGACGTGGACATATTCGTCTTCTGTTTAACACAGCTAATGTCGCAGGTCAAGGATCCCGATCTCAAAATCCCTTCCGCATTCGTTATGAATGCGTGCGTCTTGAGTTTCACGATCGCGGTTGCCATAAGTGTTACTTATATCTTTAAGTCGGACCAACTTTGCTTCATCCTGCACAGCCTGACCAAGATGGAAGTCGTGATCAATGATAAGAATCGTGAGCAAGTTAATGTGACAATTTAAATGTTTTAAAAGTTATTGGGGGTATTCATTACGAGCCCGTATCGGTAGCAACATTATCAAAAACATAGTTCGCAAAAAAGACTGGCTGGGAAATTCAGATTTTTCAAAATTATGTTGCCATGCGAACATAAAAAATTGTAATGAGTACCCCATTTAATGTACATGGTCTTCATCAAAATTCAAAATCAATATGCCTAATTAATTATTTTTCGCCTACTATTATTTTAGGAAACAAACTACACCCTATCGGCCTCCATTTACACGGTTTAATTGCCTTCGTGATAATAGGTTCTATCATCCTATTTTTTCTGCCAATGCTCATCAATGATTTGGACCCGACTTATTTTTGGTTTAGAAATGTGACCCTTTTTCACCCAATTTTAAAGCGTCTATTCCGATCTGTACTATTATCACTATTATGCACACACACATTTTTAATGAATTTCGGTACGCTAATCCTCTCCACGTATGTGGCTGTCATTCTCATACGAGTTTTAAAGCCAATGACGACTCGAGCAACTTGGGGGGCTGTTTCCTTCACATTTTCTCAACTGGCGAAGAACTAAACCACTTTGGAAAAACATTTGTCAAAATATCGTCAGCTGTGCATAATGATTACAGGAATTAACCAATTTTATTACTACTTTCTGCCAATTGCGGTAGGATTATCGTGTGTAACGGTGGTTGAAATGGTATGCATAGTGGTAAAATTTTGGCCAGAACTACCAATTTTAGTCACCGCAGTGTGCGCCACGGATGCCGTGGTATTGATCGGAATGGTCGTCTTCTTGTTTCCAATGTTGGTCACGGTGAATTCAAAGTCGGAGAAATTTATACGATTATGGAAAGTTGCGGTGTGTTCGAGATATTGGGGGCGGAAGTTGAGCAGTTGTCAGACCTTGAAGATTAGTATTGGTGGGTTTGGATATATGAGTAAGGGGATACGAAGGACGCTGTTGGCTGAAATGCTGGATTATACAATGTCCCTGCTGGTATCTTTCTGAATTTGAGACTTCTTTGTGAACAAAGTACTTATTTGTTGATTTAGATAGCGTACTCAAGTCAAGCTTCGCATATCTTGCAAATTGAGCATAGGTATGTAGCAACATAGCTTGCGAAATTTGTGACATTTCGCAAAACTTTTGCTGGAAAACTGTGGGATTATTTTTTTGCACATTTACCTAGCAAATCGGCATTTTCTTATTTCGCAACATTACTTCGCAAACTCATCCTCACCATCAGCAGCAAGAAAAATTTCAGAAATCTCTGGGAACAACATGAAAATATGCAGTTGTTTTTATTATCCATATTGATGAATCACACGGACAAATTTAAAATATTTGTTTATCCAATGTGGATTTTTTAATTGCTTCATTTCATTTTCATGAGTAGTGTGTAAAATTTGCTAGATGTAGCGAATCATGTTCAAATTTCTTGGTAGATTGTCTATCCTTCAATTTCATTTAAAACACATCTTGCAGTTAATGATACGGACTAAAGATACATAAACAATATAAAAACTGCACTCTGAATTTAGCATAAGCATGTGGTCCATGTTTGCATTATAATTGTAATTATCCGAAGTAATACGGAATCTTGAGGTATTAGTCAATTGGTAGTTGTCTCCTGACAAGGCCCAGCTCCCATCTATATAAAACACATAAAAAGAAAAGTGTGCCATGCATGCCCGGGCTAGTATATCACCTCACAGTCCAAAACACATTTTCGAATGAACAATCGGGTGGGTGGGTGAGGCGCTAATACCTCAAGATTCCGTATTACTTCGGATAATTACAATTATCCGTCGTCCGGCGCTTCGCGCCGTCCTCGGATAATTATCAATTAATCCTACAGTATACTCCATCTATCGGTATTAGTCAATTGGTAGTAATTCAAAGCTTCATGAGAAAATGCTACACAAGTAATTATGAATACATGTTTAAACCAACATTTATTATAATATTTATATTAAATATAATCAGCCATTCAATACAGCATTTGCAAATTCGTGAGTGTTTATAATAGGTCTACGATAATGTTTAGCAAAAAATTAATAGTTATTACACCAACCAGCAGCTTTATAAATAGAATCAACACAAACTCCTCGTTCATGAGCTTTAGAGGTAGAAGAATGACGAAAACTATGATCTGAGTATACATTAATATTAGTACCGGACTTATTTAATACTATTTTAAGCCAACGACTAAGCGTATCTCGAGAAACGGCCCCATAAGGGGTTCGTGTAGAAATAAACAGTTTATCTGTTTTCCGTACCTCTTAGTTTTAGCTTTATAACATTGCAACGTTTTAACTACACATAAGTCAAGATCTAAAAAATTAGGTAAGGATAAAATTGTCATACTACCTGGCTTTCTAGACTTTAATTTATCATAAAGTACGATTTCACATGAAACACTTATAAGGTTTGCACCCGATTGTTGGTCAGGGCCAACAAGGCCACTAACTTATGTGACAAATCAATAATCTTTCATTTCGAATTCTCCCATAAATTTTTACAAAAGAAGCACCCAGTTAGAGTTCCATGTATATTTTGGTTTAGGGGGTCACCTGTTCGCAACCCCTTTAATAGGCGACACACCACGGGATGAGTCCCCATAATTTGCCCGTCAACTTTCTCTATCCTTGTAGAAAGACAAGATCTCATTGAATTAATTGAGGTATACCCTAATCCTTCGTCACGAAGTTTTGCAAGAATTGCTAAAATACTATTAATTGAAGGCCTCCAAACTGGGAGATTGTTAATGGTACAGTATTCCGTCCATTTTTAAAAATTTGAAGAATATTGTTTCCAGGTTGAATTCTGGTATGATGAGTTTATTACGTTCTCGGGGTACTGGTCGTTTTGCCACATAAAATTGCTGCCACGAGATTCATTTTCCTGCACAAGGGATGAGAAGAATCATCATAAGGTGATTTTAAATCAATAATTTGCATGTAAAACCAAAAACTTTGGATTTTAGAAATTTCACAAATTCAGGATACCATGCCTGAGTACACCAGTTTGGAAAGACTACGATGCCAGTTGCCCTTTCCTGTTTTATTTTATTTATTGTACGCGAAATCTGATAAAGGGGGGGGGGGAAATGCATAAAAATAATATTCAAGGATTTCTGATCCAAAGAATTATCCTTCTTATCAATCACTTCTCTGGATTGTTTGTCCGCTATATAATTCTGCGTACTAAAATATTGCAATTAGATGAACTCGAGCATAATGATTTTAACCCATTAATCACTGCAATCAATTCAAGTGTATTTATATGAAGAAGCTTTTCCTCTGTTGACCAGAAACCCCGTGTAACTTGTGACTCAGTGTGGGCACCCCAAACCAGTGGTCAACGTCAAGATAAAGCTGACCGATCTTACAGTTTCAAAAGAGTTTGGCAACTGTCTCTGCCACCACTGAATGTCTGCTCGACATTGTGAATTTATTGTGCATTCTCCATTATAATCGCCATTACACTGAATTAATGCTGCATTTCTCAGCGATTCTAAACTTGACCTATTTACCTATGTAAGTAGTCATAAACCTTCTCTTTCTTAATAATGCCACTATTGGTCTAAATATCTTAGTAGAAAGTCTTGGAGCACATGCAATTTCAAAGGCAAGGCAAGTAAATTGGTACAAATTACATTCAAATTCAAATCTTAAAAATATTTGTGCACCGGAATGGCATGATAAGCAACCGTTAGGTCTAAAGTTGCCATCCAACAATTATTTTCTATAATACTTATAACTGATTTTAAATTTTCCAATTTAAAATGAGGAGATATAATATACTCATTCAAAGATTTAAGATTAATCACTAATCGGTAAGAAGTGGGCTCCTTCTTTGGGACAAGAAATATTCTTGAAACAATTTGACCTTCGCAAGGCAACACTTTAACAACTGCACCAGTATCTAATAACGTTAGTACACATTTTGTCTTTGTAATTTTTTCCCAACTTTTATAAAATATAAACTTAATTTTCTTGCCCTGCTTACATTTACTGGTCGACACAATGGTCTTCATGGTCTGCTCGGAAAACGGGAAAATCCTCTCCGGTTTTTTCCAACCGTGGTAGCGGCTTTGATGGTGTCACAAACACTGTCTTAAAACAGTAGCTCAGGTGTTGATGGCGTGTTACACACTACCACAATTTCAGTGCTTAATGCAGGTTTAATATCCTGCTTCCGCTTAATATTGATATCTTGCCTCAATTTTGAATTCAATGTTGCAGCTTGCATAGTCCGCCCCAGAAGATCTTGACTCAACTCTGGGGGCATCTTTTTAGAATTCAACATCACTTTTTCTGCTAAATGAGCCAATGCAACTGTTGAGCTTGAAAGAATTGCTAACATTTGTTGGGATTGGAAATCTCCCTGTTTTGATTTCTGAGGCAATACGGTCCATATTTCGGGGTTTACCCTTGGAACCCCAAGAAGTTTACAATTAGCTGGTGTAAGAAAGGTTTTCCTTAATTCTTCTATCCTCTCTTTGGATAAAACTGTTTTCCCCAAAATTCGAAAAAGAATTGGCCACGTTGACGTGCAAATCCGGTCCAAATTCAGGTTCAAGCTGACTTTCATTTAATATATCTAAGAGCTCAGGTATCGGTCCATCGTCAACGAGAATGGAATCAATCACTTCTATGAGCAGATATATCATCTCTGAATACCTCATTTATTTTAATATTCCAATATTTACAAACCTTTCTCATGCTGGAGCAAACTTTGCATTGTGTCGTCAACAACGCCCACTGAATTCCGTTGGCCATTACTTTGTGTGCCCAGCAATATTTCTTTAATTTGTCTAATCTCATTAGGAAGTGACTGAAGCTCAGCAATAGCTTTTAAATGAGAGGCCAAAATTGACACCCAACTCTTGTTCGGTTTGGGAGGACCAGCGGTCACGCCATCAGCACTAGTGATTATCATAATAATATATGTTCAAGGATGATTTTTTTTTAAAAAGATTTTCAATGCTTTTTAAACTTCATAATGAGAGACTACGTCCTCTCAAAAAAAATAAATTTGAGGTAACTACGTTATCCTCTTTCACTGGAGTGACTACGTCATCTCCATTCCTTTTAAATTGTGCGACTACGTCGTCACAAAAGGATGTAAAAATTATATAGCTCTTTGCCTTTAGGTTTAATATAATAGTAAACATGTCTTACAGTTCAAAGCTGATTTTTTAAAGATTTTCAGTGCTTTTTAAACTTCATAATGAGAGACTACGTCCTCTCAAAAAAAATAAATTTGAGGTAACTATGTTATCCTCTTTCATTGGAGTGACCACGTCATCTCCATTCCTTTTAAATTGGCGACTACGTCGTCACAAAAGGATGTAAACATTATATAACTCTTTGCCCTTAGGTTTAATATAATAGCAAACATGGCTTACCTGTCCCCTTTGGAGGTTGATGGCATCTTCTTAATTTGCACAAGGTTAAATATTCGGCGAATTTGTCGAAAATATCACGAGCTAAAATTTAGTGATGTGAGCTGGGTCTGCATCAAAAAGACTGTGAGGTGATATACTAGCCCGGGCATGCATGGCACACTTTTCTTTTTATGTGTTTTATATAGATGGGAGCTGGGCCTTGTCAGGAGACAACTACCAATTGACTAATACCGATAGATGGAGTATACTGTAGGATTAATATTATCTACAAGTCTTTCACGTATACACATACTTAACTTGAATTTTTATTAAGCTAATTTTATTTGGCTCAAAATAAAAAAATGATACCATTAGAAAAGACTGATCGTTCATTTTTGACTCTTCGAAAATGCAAAAGATCAGAATCTTTAGGAACAAAAATTTCGGATAATCGTTAGTATCCATGTATATGAATTTGGGAATATTTTGGAGACCATCATAACCCTGAATTTACACATTTATACATAAAATTGCAAAAACACGGTGTGCTCATTTTCAAAATAAAATTGCTCCCTTTAAATCTTACGATTAGCTATACATACAGCCTGTACACGTGAGAGGCCCACATTGCACATACATATGTTCATAAATAAGTACATAAATTTGAGCATACTCACGCCATATGTATGCATTTCCTGCACCCACACTTTGCATGAGTCAAACAATGTGTCAATCAGGATGCATTTGAAACAGAAAGGTTTTCTCCATTTGGTGGAAAGATAATAAAACTTACTCAAATAAACAGCGAGATGAAAATAAAGATCTTAAAACATGAAAATACAACAAATCTTAAAACATCCGATTTCTCGGGTAGATCAGGTTACCCTTTTTGTTTCTTCATTTCATTCATCACTTCCCGTTCGTGAGGAATCTGTCGTTAATCTCAGAGCTACAAGTTTTTGCACTTTTGCGAAAAAAATAAGTACTTGCCAAGTTTCCTTACAGTTTTTTTGTTTTAAGAACTTATCAAGTAAATTAAAATTCATGTAAAAAATTAAATTTGCACAAGTTTCTAAAGACGCGTACATACTCTAAAGTTTGTAGTGCAAACATATATTTCCGCTAAAAATTTTTAGCAAAAATAAATTGCAAAAGCGGATTATATAGTTAAAAATTTTCAACTTATCTTAATGCAAAATGCAGTCCTACATAGTTCGCATGGACAGCACGTCTGCGAAAGATTTACAGAGACAAATGATCCCCCAAGAAGAAAGCAACGAAACACAAAAATCCAGCCGGAAGCGGATAAAACACTGGATCCGCATTATTCTCACCTTTCTCCTCGGCCACGTCGGTGTCGGAGCGTTGCTCGTACTTTACACGATTTTGGGGGCAACAATCTTCCTCGCGATCGAGTCGCCTGTGTCGGATAACACCGTCGCCGTGGAGAAGTTCCGGAACGCCACGGTTTTCCAGTTGTGGGAGGCCACGCAAAACTGGAACGTCATTTACGCCGAGAAATGGGAGAGTGAGGTTGACCAAATTGTGAGGAATTTCCAGAATGAATTTCTCCTCTTGGTGAAAGCGGGATACGCCGGAATGGCGATGGAGGAAGAAAGATGGACATTTCCGAAAGCGGTGATGTACTCGTTAAGCGTGTACACGACGATTGGTGAGTGTGATTGTCAATTTTCTTAACTCATAAATTGAGAATATCTGTGTCTGTCTAATTTGCAAAGTTTTGCGAAATTTCGCATACAATTTTTTCTAAAGCAATGGGATTTGTATTTGTGAATTTGCCCAGCAAATGGTATATTTTATTTGGGCAGATTATACATAGTGAGTCAATTCACACAGTCATTGGTTAAGTACATGAATTGCGACGTGGTATGTAAAAGAGTTTGACGTGAGGACGCCCATCCGTTTAATGCCCTATGCAAATTAATGAGATTTACATAATCATAATTATCCCAGGAAACAATAATCTTACCCCGAAAACGGAAGGTGGCAAGATTTTTACATGTTTGTACGCCTTGGCCGGGATTCCACTTCTCTTGCTGTACATGACAAACATTGGGAATTTATTGGCGCAGAGTTTTATTGAGTTTTACTTAAGTTTGGACAGGTGACAATATTATTGAAGGGTGTATTCCATGCAATTTTGAACATTCATGAATTCTCCAAATATCTAGGTGTCACGAGAGGATAGCAGCAGCTCGTAAACCGGAAGTTAGGAAACCTGACCCCAAAGATAACCTTGCAACGCAAGATAAGCTGCCCACCAAGACGACACCAAAACCTTCCCACCATGATGCTACCAAGAAGTCGCCCATTTCTAAATCAGTGGTGGCGAACACGGTACCGATCTCAACTTGCCTCACTCTCTTCTTAATGTACATCCTCCTCGGGTCGGCCGTATTTTCCGCGTGGGAGGGCTGGGGTCTTGTCGACGGGGCGTATTCCTGTTTCGTCGCCCTCGTGACGATCGGATTTGGTGAGCTGGGGACGGGTGGTCATGGTGGTTTCCGGGGACGTTGGGTGGACGGTCAGCTCGTCATCTTGTCGATCTACATCCTCCTTGGGATGGGAATTATCAGCATGCTGTTTCACCTCACGCAGGAGAGGTTCTTCACCATGGCGAAAAAACTGGGCAAAGTGTTGCACATGATTTGAAATAATGGTGATACAGTTTTCAAAAAATTTATGATGTCAGAAATATGTAGTATTTTATTGACTTGAATTATGTACTTGTACCCAGAGCGACAACGCACAAGGAAGATTTCGTGTGTACATATGACATATATCTGTAATGTCCATCTGCAGAAACTCACAAATTTTTGTGCGCTGATTTTGGCAGTATTTTTTATTTACTTTTATCGTAAACATTTGTAACTTTACGGATTTTATGGTGTTTACGGAAGTCTCATGAGTTCCCACAGGGTAAAGTATTCCTGGATGGTTGACGATGTGCATAAATAATTGTGTTAGGGATAACATTCGAAATGCGCATGCAGTTATCTTATAAAAGTTATAAAAACTTGTATCCAAGTAGATTAATGAATTGTGTATATTTGTGTGCATGTAAATGGCTGCCACATTACTGAAAAAGTCTCAATTACAGGTAATGATCCTTGTAAATATTTACATAACTGAAGTACATATTCAACATCGCGAAATAAATATGTAAATATGATGGTCTTGGAAATTACGTTTGTCAATAGATAATTCAGTTCGTTGTTATTAAATTACTTCCTTCCTCTCCAAATATTCAGCATGATCAGTTATTCGATAAAATAGGTATACATTGTCACAAATATTAATTTCGATCTCATGTTACACGGCAATTGTATAACATTTGAAAAATGTTTACAAGATAATTACGTACTTCCGAAACATAATTTGTTGAGCGTGTTAAATGTATAGCGAGTACAATGAGTGTTGACCTCACAAAATAGACATAAAATCTGGACGAATTTTTTTTCTGAACGATAGACTTTCTTGTGCTGCGTCAAACTCTATTTAATTATTTCCCTGTCGGTGCAATATTACAAAACAATGAATTTGTACAAGAAGAAGGATAGCGTCTTCAAAATTCTCTTGTTCGCTGGGCTTTCACTTTATTTGGTGGGAGACAATTTCGTAGAAAGCCAGACATCTGAAGCCCCTTCGAGTATTTCGGATATGTTGCAATCCCTGCAAAACCAATTCGACCAATTTAGCAAAAATCGGTGTAAGTTCAAATAAACCTAATGGGCCACCTCACGATAATGTCTTTCATCGCAACTCATTTAAACAATGCAATCTACATACATACATATTTAAATATGTATGTAGCTAAGCGTAATGCATTTTGCTAAGCATAATGTTTTGAAAAATTTCGCAAATCTACATACATACATATGTATGCTTAATGTTCGAGATTTGCGAGTCACGCGAAAATTGTCGTGAGTATGTCCAATATCTTGTTTGGTTTTACGCTTTGGTTTTAAGGTACTTTGACACCTTTAATGCTACCAAGTTATGAAATAATTGCCTTATTTTATGCAAGTACAGCCAGAAATGCCATACTACTGGCTGATCTGACCAAACAAGTAACCAACCTCAACAACCAGGTTACTTCTCTTCGTGGACAATCTACCCAAACGCAGAAAAATGTTCAGTCTCTTCAAAATCAAGTTGGCAATAATTCTGTGAGGATTTCCGCATTGGAAGATAATTCTAGAGCAACAACTTCGACTCCAGATTCGACCGGACAAAATAATTTGGACGACAGAGTGACCACTTTGGAGGGAAAGATGGATCAAGTCTTGGAGAAATTGAATGCGACCATGCAACGTGGAAATGGGAGTTGGTCTAATAATTGGAAAAAAGGGTGGGGGCACAAGGCCGCAACGTGCACTTGTAATTGTGGAAGGAAAAATTTCGGATAAAGATGACGAATCAGTTCGGAGCTGAAATTGGGGAAATTGGTTTTCATAGATATTTACCTAATCATGTTTTATCGGCAATTAGGATATGGATATTAAATTGATAATAAATTTGTGAGTTTTTTTATTAACTGCAAAATTGTTGGCCTCCATATAGAATTTATGTTCATTCCACGATTGATATGCACAGTATTAAATTCTTTATGTGCAACAATAATTTACTATTAGATAAGTTGTAGACGAAAATATTTTTAGAGTGCATTTTACTTCTTAAAAGTGTTAAATATAGATAATGAAAAATTATGTAACTTCTCCTATGTAAATTTTCATTTACTATGTGTGTTTACACAATAAATCGACGGTTATTCTGATTAACCGAGAAAACACCGACTTGCCAAATATGTATGTATGCATAACATATTTGATTCCTTTAACTGGTAAATTTTCAAAACAATTTTCAACCCGGTTTCTAAAACACTCCAAGTTTTACAATTTCATCTATAGTATATTTTGCAAATTTTAATGGGCATGTTTACTGTGATATTTGATTACATACATACTTGCATGCATACCTATGTATATGCATAAGGAAAGTTCCATGCATTTATTTTATTTTTAACCCTTCCAATGAGGAAAAGTGATATTTAGGTAAATACCCGTATGTATTAAGTACATAAATACATAGTTCACCTAATTTCCGACTAAATTTTTATCATAAATACAGATGCAAAATAGTATGTCAATGTACAACGAAACCAACAGATTCATACGACTTGAAACAAGTTAGTTTTTAGGCTTCCGACCAGCTTCTTAGAAGCCGTTAATTTTGTCATAAAAAATCACAAATACATATTTTGCTCTTGCTAAAGGTGATGCAAATGCTGATGAAATGTTGATTTTTTGGTGCGCAATATTACTTCCTCTCGGAATTTTTTGGCATTACATAAAACCTTACCGCGGTAGAAAGAATAATACCGAAATTCCAGGTAAGCACTTTGTTAAAAGAATTACCTCGTTATCAACTTCAAGGATTACTCCAAAATTTAGTTAAGTACGTAGATTACGAAAATCCAGGTTTTCGTCGTTTTTATATCTCTTTTAAATTTTTACATCTCCACAAATTTTTATTACCAGATCCACGGCCATGGCCAATCATAGGAAATTTACTGGATGTCGCGACTGTTTCTTCAGACATGACAAAGGCTTTTGGAGAATTAGCGAAACGATTCGGGGAAATATATTCGCTCCAAATGGGAACAAAAAGGACAGGTATGAACAAAAATTAGCGTCACTAATTACGAGCAATTTAATAATATATTATCAATTAAAATAGTTGTCATCACTTCGAAAGAGGCCATGCGTACAATTTTATTGCATGAGGCTTCCCTGGGTCGCGACAGGAGGGGAATATTTGGGGATCGTTTAATGAACAAGAATTTGGGGATAGTTTCATCCGATGGAGAAATCTGGGAGAAAACGAGGAATTGGACATTTAAAAAATTGAAACAGTTTGGATTTGGCCAGTCTTCTCAAATGCAGGAATTCGTTGAGGTTAAGATATCATGTTATCTTAAATGCTAAAACTAAGGATTTTTAATTTACACGAAATTTTAATAACTTTAATGTTTTAGAACGCCTGCATGCCTCTATTTCGTCACATTGACGATCGTATTGACTCAGCGATTAACGTCTCCTTACTCTTTAACCCATCCATCATGACCATCCTTTGGGAAATCATAGTGGGTCCAGCGTCCCCCAAGGATACCGAGGTCATCAAACGGTTGACAGAAACGAGCCAAGCTTTTTTACAAAGTTCCGTCGTGGGGACGGGGCTCATTAACGCGTATCCGTTTCTGAGAAAAATCTTCCCTAAAATTCTTGGTTATAATGTCCAAATGGATTTCTTCAATTCGTGCAATAATATCGCGAAAGTATGCAATTACAACAATTCAAGTTTAAGTCAGTCAATCTGATTTAATTTTTTTTAAGAAACTTTTTGCCCAAATGGAAGACAAATTTGAAAAAGACTTTACCAAATCGGAAGAAAACTTGTTGGAAGCTTTTGTTCAAAATTGCAAATCTCGGAAAGATGATGAGGTCTTCAATTGTGAGTTGTTCGGGAAAAATTATTCATTTAAGGGTATTTGGGGTGTCTAATTTATATGTGTGAATGCGGCAGGTGAGAATTTTCAGATAATATTTCAAGACCTACTTCTCGCCGGTTCAGATGCGACGAGCTCCTTTTTGGAGTCTATTGTCCTCTATTTAGTAACCTATCCCAAAGTACAGGACAAGATTTATCAGGAAATTGTACAATTTTCTAACGATTCTAATTTCGTACCCTTTGAGGATAGGAATCGGTAGGCACATAATTTTTGCTTGCATCATTATGGGTTAATTGTATGTATGCAAAAATTACGCGAAAATATTTTTAGCATGATTTACACGAAAGCGTTCCTCCTTGAGATGTATAGAAATGCGATGCCTCAACAAAACTCGTTTCCTCGAAGAGCAACGGGCGACATTGAGTATAAAAATATGGAAATCAAAAAGGTAAATTCATGAAATTCTAAATTTTTAAAGCAAACTTGAGCAGTTAAATAAATATTTGCTTTACACAGGATACCATAATTATGGTTGATTTACGTCTTTATTATGGAGATGAGAAAATGTATCGTAATCCAGAAACATTTTGTCCAGAACGCTTTATCAACGAAAAAGGTGAACTTTGCAATTCGGAGAATATAATTTCCTTCGGGATGGGTGAGTGAAGTTCAAATTTGTGTTTAAATGCATATGTACTTATTAGCTGCGAGTGGAAATTGATAATTTGAAAAATTAAAGGGAAACGAATCTGCCCTGGTGAAAATTTTGCAAATATTGTAATATTCGTGATCCTAACTTCACTTCTGAAACGGTACAAATTGAGCATTCCAAGGGGACAGGGGCCGCCAAGGATGGACAAAAAACCTGGACTTTCAGTAAAACCGTATCCGTTTCAAGTACAATTTTCAAGACGGGAAGAAATCCATTACAGTGGAAATAGGAACACCTAACATGTTCTATGCGCGTTAGCCTTTAATTATGCTTTGAAATTATAAAACTTTTAGCAGAAAAATGTAAATTGTTTGTTATACTATGGGACGGTAAAAATGTTTTGATTTAGTCGTTTTGGTCAAGTTTTAGCATGTGTTGTAAATAATATGTTTAATTGAAATAAAGAGTTGCAATTCCTTTAATTATACATATGCATGTATAAATATGTACATAGAAAAACCAGGTTTGGTCATTTTTTTATGCAATAATGCATAGATATTTTGTTATTCATGAGATTTTGGCAACACGCGACACGCAGTTTCGCGTAATTAGTTACATTTAAATAGATACATACAAAATTAACAAAAAATGTAGGTAACTAACAACTAACAAATTAATTGTAAGTAATTAGCCTTAATGTTATGCATAGGTGAAATTTAAAACTTTATCTAAAAATTTTACACTAAAATTATGTTCTTAATCATTAACGGCCAACTACAGCAACGGCTAAAACCGGTGTAGCAAATGTAACTTTCTTCCTTAATTCTTTAAAAGTTTTGTCAACAATGCGCCAATTTTTTGCCCATACTTGATTGATAGACTGTAATTTGGTGATTTTACTGTTCGCAGCGTTCAGTGATGTGGAAAGCTCAGCAATCCTGTTATTTGCATATTCGATTTGCACTTTGTTTGATTCAATTTCGTTCCTCATTTGTGTCACATTTGCTCTTAGGGTGTAAATCCGATTTGATAAATGATTGATTTCGGAGTACATTTCGCTCCTTAAGTTTGTCAATCTGGAATCCAAAGAGTCGATTTTCTTCGAGTTGGCAGCTGTAAATAGGTACAAAGTTATGTATTTAAATCATGACTTATGCAAATTTATGAAAAATGTATATTTCGATTGAATTAAAATGGTGTCAATGTATGTAAACTTACTCGTTTTTCCATCTACACTGGTGATCCTTGCGTTTAGAGCGTTAATCTGAGATTGATATTGCGCTCGTGCCATACACATTGTTCCAAAAATGAGTAGAATGGTTGAGGTAAAATTGGAAAAATTTGAGAAATTTCGCTTGGCCATAGTTTCAAACGTGAATAAAATGTTTCCTACAAAAAGGGGCAAAGGTTAAGTTATATAAATGTAAATTATGTAAATTTGCTTGTCTTGCTTGCTTGTCCAGTTGGGTTTAAGTAGTGATAATTTTTCAAATGTTATTCCCGTTTTTATATGAAATACACTTGTGTAGCATGACGATGATGAGTTAGTCATCAGGATTGAACGTATCGATGTCGTCATGTCATAAACTGTTAAGTGTCACCAAAACATGAGATGGAAAATACCTGGAGGATTTAGGTATATTTATGAATTACTATTAATAGGCAGACACAATTAACATGCAATTGTTGTTGGCAGGTATCATATGTATTTGTAAATGGTTCAAAAATAGGTTGACGAAGTCCATTATGCAATTTCATGTTTGGACTTGTGCTAACTTATGATCCATTTTCTGGTTTATGTCATTTCCAAGAAATCCGTTACTAATTTAATTGTATATACGTACGTTCGGCATACAATTTGTACACAGATTCGTATACTGAACAAATTATTACGTTCCGCACGCAATGAGTTTGACTACCTTTTCATTGTCTGAGCTGGATAACGTTCAAGCTTATGTACATACATACATACGTATTTGTGCATGTGCAACTAAGCGACCAGGGATTTTACTATGATTCTGGAAAACTGATGTCAAAAATGAATCATTTTTCATGCAACAATTACAATCATGACGTAATAATCCAATAAATAAATCACGTTGCAGTGTAGCAAATGTATTAGAATGATGGATATATTGTATGTATGTAAATTAGTGTTATGCTTACACACATATTTATGTACTTACTTATGTATATAAGTAAGGAAGCGTCTCTATGTTCACTTTGGGTGGACAAATTAGCGACATTGTTATACGTAACTAAATATGCGCTTGCATATGTATGCATGTTAATGATACACGACTGACCAGAACGATTTATATAAGTACTTCCAATTTGATTTGAAGGATATGAATGTTTTAAGATTGTGACTCATAGATTAATCTACGTAACAGATGTGGAAATTATGGGTAACTTCTTTAATTGAAGAAACAGGATGTCACGGGCGGATTATAACATAGATTGAATTATTCACAATTAACTTCCGGATTCTTCAAGTAAAGTGCGTATGTATGTACATATTGTACATATGTGTGCATGTATGTATGTAAATATGTATATATGTACATAAATACGAATGACTTTACCCTGATGTTTATAAAACTAACATTAAGTTATTTGGCTTCAATGCACGTTGTATTATTGCGTATGGTTCAAGTTCTCCAATATGTACATTCCATATGCAAATAGCAATTTATGATACAAATGCAATATTGGGAAGCTTGTGAAATTATATTCATACATAATTACGTACACAAATACATTACCATGCATTGAGAGACAAAAATTTATTTCTGAAAAAGTTATAAATTGTACAATTTCAATTATAAAATTCACATCCTGACTGATTATTCTACTCCTCCATTTGGCTCCCCCACTTGCAATATTTTATGCACTTGCACCCCATGCGCTTTAAGGTTGCTCTTCCTGCTAAACATTTTCCCACAAAGGTCACATCCAAACTGTTTCTCCACTCCGACGCCCTCATGCAACTTGACATGTGCCCCTAAATCTCTTCGCCTTTTAAAACTCTTTCCGCAGTGGTGGCACAAATGTGGGACAACGTCTTTATGCAGGCTTTCGACATGATCTGTCAGGCCGGACCGGGTGGCGAAAGTGGAGCCACAAATGTCACACGGGTGTCGAACCCGGTCTTCTGGGTCCTTATGTGTTTTCAGATGTGCACCCATATTTGTAACAGATTTTCCGCAAAGGACGCAATTTCTCGCCTTTTTCCTCCCAGTCGGTCCTGTCCTCACGGTTGGGGGGACATTCCGTAAAAATATTTTACTTTTCAGATCCTCACTTCCGTTCGGTAGCTCTTTTTCCAAATTTGAGAGGTCTGAATGCACCAATTTTATCGCGGAGGAGGTCGCGTGCTTCGTGTTGTGATGCGTAACGAGTTGATCTTTCCGTGCAAAGGTTCGAGAACAAGAATCCTCTGGACAGCGATACTTGGTGACGAGGGATTTATGCGTTAGACTGATATGTCTTGAGAGGGAGCTGGCAAACCGGAACGTTTTTGAGCAGGTGGGACAGCGGATGTCGGTTCCCTTGTCGGAGTCATGTCGTTTGGAGTGAAGGTCAAAATCGTGTCGCCGAACGTAACTTTTAGAGCAGTTTGGATATTCACATTTGTATGGGGGAGGTGGTTCAGCAGGGAAGGTGTGGGTCGGATGCACGTTGTCCCAATGTCGCTGCAAGTGCGACGGGTTAGCATAACTTTTCGAACAAATGGGGCACACTTTCCTGGGAGAGAATTGGCTGATTGGTTGTGCAATTTCTGAAAAACGAGCCAAGTTAAATGTTAGCTTATTTTTGTCCGATTTTTGTATATATGTCATGTTATAATAATCACCTTCCTCTTCGTGGGTGTGGTCATCATCGTCATGTTCGTCCCCACTAAAACTTTGTTCTTCGCTTTGACTGCTGGAGTTTTCTATCTTCAAGTCTGGTTTAATACCTGCATACATAAATTGAGGCGAATTTTATATACTTTTACATAGGTTAAGTACTTTAATTAATTAATTACCGGCATAACAATTAACTCCAAATTCATCCCATGATTGAAATTCTTGTTTAATTGGTACTTCCAAACTTTCATCGGAGTCATCATGGCCTCCGTCGTCAATAATGTTTTCAATTTTGCAAATATTAATTTCTTCCTTCGCTGTGGCGACGTCAAGGTCACGTCTTTTACGTGCTTCCATTAAAGCACGGCCTAGAGAACTGTGGTGTTGGATAAGCTTCTCAAATTCCTTATAAATAAGGTACAATTTTTGCACACACTCTGCACAATCGTGACACATGAAAGTTTCAAAGTTCACGGAAGTCAGTGAAAATATAGTTTTTAGTATGGTTACAATTTTAACTGTTTCAAATTCTGCACCTTCCTCGTCAGGGACAATTTCAAAGTTTAGATTATCGGTCGGAACACAAATTTCATTTTTAGCAAGCTCCCCAGAAATTATGGGAACGGAACAGGAACAACATGAGCTAGGGGGCATATCTTATGTATGTAAAATGTTAACGTCTTATCTAATTCTTCATTCTTTTTGTTGCAAAATTACTTTGCCAAAATTGGTTTGATTTTCAGTTTTAAAATATTTCAGTTTGGTGGGCAGCAGCTGACTGGGACCGATCGACTTTGTTTTCTTTTACTTTGTTGCCGAGACTTTTGTTTGCATGTGGTTTTGATTTAGCATGCAAATAATATATACATTTTTCTGCAATTAATTTTCTTTGCTCACTACATATTTTAGTATTCTATGGGCCATGAGCCTTGTAAGAATTATTCATTGAATAAATAAAAATACATATTTTAGTTTGTTAATTAAATAAATACTTTGTCTGCATAGAGGGTCCAGAAAACCCTGAATCTATGTACATACATAGATACGTATACGTCATACAACACTTACATACATACATATGTTCATATGTATGTATGTACATCGTAGTTATTGTGCAAATAATTTAAGTTTAATGTGTACTACATTTTATTACATATTTACATTGGTATATGTCAGTGTGCGTATAAATAATTGTGTACTTAATTCATAAGACATGCCTATATTTATGTACATACTACATATATGTGCAGGTTATGCATCGACTCGTACAATAATGACATTGTTTTATAATTTTTACGGAACTTATTTATGTATGTACAAAGGATTTTTTTACATAGCTGTGATTTGATTTTTAATGCATTAAACTTGTACACAAAAATTGTTCATGCATGCAAATCAAAAGTTCATAATATGAACTTATTCCATAATCTTTACCACTTAATCAGTTCCGGGACACTATAATATTACAACATGTACTAATTGATTAGGACTTTGCTTATAACAATTCGAAGTTTTTCATTATTTAGAAAATTGTCTGTTTCTCAATGGCATTCAGTTTAGAGTTTTCTAAACAAGACACGTCAGTTCATTTTAAAATTTACATTTTATCAATCCCCACCCTCCAACTATGTAAATAAATATAATTACCAGTCGCATTGCATACGGTTCTATTTAATACAAACGTGTGCAATACGTTACTAGGTAAGCATGCAATATGAAAACTTTGTAAATACACATATGTGTATTTACACGTATACGATATACGTATATACGTATGTACACATACGTATGTATGTACATACATATGTATGTATATGTACATAAATGTACATGATTTAAATATGACACATACATCCATACTTTTACACCGAGATATATGTATGTATACTTCTACTAACACAGTATATGCACACAGGATGAAGTTGAAAATGAATTTCTTGTTTGATTTTTCAAACTTGTCAATGGTAAGAATGTATGCATGTATACGTACATTAGAATTTTTGAAGTAGAGTAAAAATGCGAAACTTACCAACCATTTTGAAACCCAAGGCTTTGACTTAACACATTTATTGATTCATTCAAAGAGTTCATTTTTTATTTTCTGTTGTAAACAAATTTACTTAATTGTGTCCCATCAAAATCAAAGTTAAATATGTAGGTATATGTATACACATGAACGCGGAAGGCTTCAATTATGAATGGTAATAAACCCTTGCAAACGAAATTTAGCAATATGGTGAAGAAAGTAATTTCCCCAAAAAAATGAGTGACCACACTCCCTGACCTCAAAGTGGTAGTTCAATTTACCCCGAAAGTTGATAAAATCCTTCTCCTGGGGTCATACAAAATAATACAAATGATGCCGTAAACGGATCTAGATTATTTGAATGTATTCTCCCGTTATCCTTCTGACAGACAGACAGACAAAGTTTTCACTTCATAGGGTTTCACGGTGAAACTTTCACCCTATAATAAATAGTATGGTTTAGGTGGTAGAATTTCTGAATTTCAGTAATGTCCTTCGTTCATAGCCATTTAACAACCTCCAATTTTAGTTGTTGACAGACAAACGTTTAAAAAAATTGCTAGCAACTACAGAACTACACTCGTGGATGTTTAATAGAGTACACAAGGCTATAGTATTTCCATTCCAACCTATTTATAATACTGGTTGGGCTGCCCATTTTCGAAATATTTAATAACAATGGGGCCCGGATACTATTGTGTCAGCATCTAACACTATAATTTGAAGCTTTTTGAACCCAGTAGTTCCAGTTCCAGTGCTTTCTAAATACAAACAAAGTGCTAGTTGGTGTCCCAATTAAAGCCCAATTTCAATTGGATAACCTTACTTTGTTTATGAATAAAATTGGGATATGTATGCACAGTTATGTAAGCCATTATACGCAGCACTGGCTAATGGCATGCATATGTGCTCTATATCCCACAATAAGGGGTAGTATACATTCTGAAGCTCTATCAGATAAAATCGAACTTGTGTAAGTTATTAAAATAATTTCGAGCTACAGAAGAAACATTGAGATCAACAGGCGTCGAAAGGCTAACTTTTTGAACAAAAGTGGTATTTTGGTGTATGCATAGGTTGAATCCTAGTCAACGAGATATACATACATACCACCACAAGGTTCGAAACCTATTCGTCATGTATGTATATACGTTTTAACTAATATTTAGTTCTGCAATCAACTATGATTGCGTAGAGAATTAGTAAGGCCCTTTGGCTTAGGGGTTCGGGGGCGGAACTGTCACCACGCAGTCACACGTTCGATTCCTCTCTGTCCCATATATGAGAGATCTTGTATTTCTCTTCCATGTCTCTGTCCGGGAAGCTATTTGCTAATCCTACTCGGCTCGGTGTTAGTACGGGGTGGGTGCTCCTCTCATGGTTGGGTGAGCCCGGCCAGACGGTCTGGCAATGCCAGAAAGGGGAGCCCTCGCAGAGTCCGTTGTCTGTGAGAAGATCCGACTCATCACCAGAGTTATATGGTGAGAAGGACAGTCATAGATTGGAAACCAGTTTGCTTTTAACTGATATCTGTTGACTTTAAAGGATTATTTTATTTTTTTATTTTTATTTTATTTTTTAAGGCACCATCCATACAGTTCTTCATAACATTGACCAGTTTATTAAGAGGGTATTTATTACGAGTTCGTATGTTCGCTTCGCAACACAATTTCGAAAAGATGGGAACTACATATGTAAATACTATCATTGGAAATGCATTTTGGTTCAAAATTATTGCAAACTTGCAAACTTGCGAACCTTTTTTGTGATCGTTTCTAACGAAGCGAACCCGTAATGAATACCCCCAAAGATTTGTAGCTTGATTTTAATTGGCCCCCTTTGGAAATGCTTTTAGGGATTTAAGATTGTATCAAGGAATGTGCCAATTACTTCACTATTTTCAGATTTACGCACATATAGCAACAATCACGCTAAGATCAAGACAGTGGGGAAATTAGTGATTATTAAGTAATTTCGATCATCTATTACAGTAAAACAATTTTGGACGTCAACAACAAATTAGTGTATTCTTAGTTCAGCTATTTAAATTTTGCATCAATACGACACAAACAATAAATTGATCAATTTATAAATCTTTCTAGAGTTGGAAACTTCAGGTTTTTCAATTTATCCAGTTGGAAATATGTTTTCCCAGTTTACTTTCGGTGCTCTTTCTGGATATTTTTCCATTCTACGGATGATTCATCACATTCCACCAAATATCTGGAACATCGAGACGAACAAATTCGAAATGAATCCAAATCCGAACAAAATCCGATGGGCATTTTCAAATTTGAACGTTACGATATTTTTCGGACTCGTCCCAGCCTACATGTTACTCTTCAATCGAGAAAGGCTGACCTCGAGCCAAGTAATCTTTCTAGCACTTCAGTTGATCGTGGCAGTCCACTCGGTCCCATTGTTCATCAAGGCGTACACGGACGGATTTTCGCTTTGCCTGGCGATGAATACTTATCTAAGGCTGGAAAATTACTTAAGAGGTACCTATATGCATATATTTAATACGGCGACAAAATTGTATGTAACGAATTGGTAACGATTTATCTCCAAACGGTAAACACATAATTAAAATTTGTCACCATGAGGTGAAAAATTACTTCCAGTATGTTATCAAATTTGACTTTTTCTCAGACACTTATGTGCTGTCGCCGTTCATGCGAATCGTTAGAACCGAATAACTCGTACATTAGTCTTCAGCCAATATTAATAGTCACAAAAAAATCTGAAAGGTTTCCTGGCAAATAGCAACGAAATAACATCTCAGAATACTTTGCATTAGGAAGTGGGATTAATAATATTTGTATATCACCAGCACTGCTTTATTTGCATGGAAAGCTGCATAAGATCCTTGATGCGAGTCTTAACAAGTAAATATAATTTTTTGTTTGTATAGAAAATGAAATCCTTGCAAAAAAATATGCCCCCCTTCTCTGGTACCGCGATCCTGTAGGACTAATTTTCAACGGTGTTGCCACCTCACTCTTGTCCTTCATCGTTTCATTACCAATCCTCTTCTGCATCGCTGACGTGGACCCACTCTACTTCATTATGCCATCAATACCAACCAATTGTTGCTCGACAATGGGCTACTTTGTGACCAGATTGTCCCTTTGTTTGATTATACTGGCGGAAATAGTGTCCAACATTGGTCTCGCGCACCTCACCCTAATCATGCTCACCTTGTCGGCGAAAGATTGCATTTCCAGCGTAAAGTTTTACCGTCAACCTAATCCCGATTTAGGAACGTTCTCCGTCCTAAGAACTAATTTAGTCGGGAGAAAAATGATACGTACCCCGGACAAGTTATGTGAGTTGTCCAATTTGGATTTGTACGTCGTAATGATGGTGCAATGTCGCCTAGTTCGACAGTATACCGACACGGCAAGCATGTTCATTATGGGGCCGGGTTTTGTCATTGATGTCATCGCGAACTATGTGGTAATCAAGTTACACGGGAAAATACCACTGCTGCTCTACCTTGCAATTGCACTATTGGCAATTTTAGTGCCTGTAATTATTATGGGCGTGTTGCCCCAGGCTGGGAAAAGTAATACGTATTCGATAAATTTGCTGCAGCATTGGAGAGGAAGCAATCCAACGCGGTGGAGGAGGAAGAAGGTCAGATCTTTGCGACCCCTTGGATTTTGGGTGGGTCCCTTGTTTTTGATTAAGAGACAAACGCTATCAATTTTAGTCAACGTAATTCTCGACTGCACGGCGAATTCGGTATTGTTATCATGAGAAGGAGGTGTGCTTTGAAA